CTCAACAAAATCTTTCAAAGATTTATCCGCTTTGTTTTGAAAATTTGGAGTCTGTCTTGCATCACTTTAAGAATTGCATAGTGGCGAGATCACTTTGGTTTGGGTGGGGGTGGTCCATAGACTGGAGCAGAGTCACTGTCGATAATCCTTTGGACTTTCTCAAGGCCCTTCTTCATCCGCCTTCCTCTATTATTGGATACCATTTTTCTCATAATGACAATCTAATTTTAGCGGCTATCTTTATTGACGTTATTTGGAAGGCCAGAAATGCCGCACTTTTTTCGGGCCCTCTCCCTGATATGCAGGCTCTTATGCTTCAAGTTCGCGTTAGATTTAATGAATTTTAGGGTGCACTTAAGGATTGTGTTGCAAATGGATCAACATTTAAGGGTTGTTCTTTTCTAAGGAAATTCAGAAAAAGTTTGAACTCGAGTTATAACTTTATTTAAGTTCATGTCCTTTTGTAAAACTTGAGTTTAAACTCGAGTTTGGGGCTAAACTCAAGTTCAAGTTTTCCCTTCAACTCGAGTTCATAAACTCAAACTTAAATTAATGAACATTATTTTTTACATTCTTAAAAATGCCATAACTTTTTCGTTTTAATTCTGATTGAGATGATTTGTCTTTCTATGCATTCACAAAGTCGAATAAAACTCCACCCATATACCCTATTAAAATTTTTCATCACCATTAAGTTTTTATTAAAATACTATATATTAGTGCATTTTTATATTGGCTTATTTTTGGCAAATTAGTTGTAAGATTGGTTAGCATTGTAAATTAATAGACCTCTTAAGGAAAGTCTTGTTGTCATGTTTATGGACTACAAATCAAAGGATTTGATTGCTGAAAATGAAGAGTGAACTTTTGGGGGAATTAATGGCTGGGGAAAATTCAAACTTGAGGGGCGTTTTGTATTAGAGGGGCAACGGTAGAAAAAAAAAAAAAAAAAGACAGAGGCAAAACGTGGTGTGGGGACACAAGGCTCAAAACAGAAAAATCTGGATAGGCACATGAGCAACTTTGCTATATATACATAAGTGGCATACGTGAGTTTTTGGGCCCCTTGAAAAAAATATTGGGTAATCAAAGGATACATTTGGGGCATGGTTTTTATAGAAGAAATATTCAGAAAAAGTCTATGTGAGAGCAAGCCTTTATGTGTTGATTGAAGATCGTCCTTCGGGAGAAGGATTAGAAGCTTTCGGGAGAAAGTGCACTGCCAGCCGAAGGGATTTCACCGTGTAGTTTGAAGACGAGTGGTGCTCGCTGGACAAGGCCATTGAGGAGATTCGACACGGCGGCAACAACGTCAAAGAGGGAGTCTTTGGGTGTATAAGTCCGATTGGTGTTTGTAATCCTTTGAACTTAGTGGATTGTTCATTGTCTGGGCGTAGCCCCGCAGAGTAGATGTGCGCACCGAACTGCGATATCATTTTTTTGGTGTTCTTTACATTCATGTATTATTTTCCTGCATTTTGCCTTGCTGGTTTAATTTCAGATTTACTGTTAAAAACAGTGTTACAGTAAAATGTTGCAACACCACTTGTGGCACCAGGATAAAAACGGACCTAACAATTGGTATCAGAGCAGTTCACTAACCCTTTGTTTGGTGAGATTTTGGGAGTTGGTCTGTTGTAGCATGAATAGATTTTCTGAAAGAAGGAGGTTCAGTTTCACACTCTTCACTACTTGATGGCACTAAGAAGTTCAACAAGAAGGAAAAAGGCCAAACTTTGGCAATGTCAACCATTTCTGGAAGAATATTATATTCATGGGGAGTAAGACTCGTAGAGGACTTAGGAGAAGTGTTTTGCAGAGATCAATAACCCTGAAAGATGATCTGTAGAAAGTGTTATATCAGGTGTTGCAACACTTTCTGCGACAACATCTTCTAAAAGGATTTTCTATTAGTAATATTTTTAACTTTGGCTATATTTTGTCAAAAAGGGGGAGAACTCTTAATTCCCTTAGTTGGATTTTATCTTTTATCTTGTAATAGGATCTTTTTGTTAGTAATGTTAGTTTTGCCAAAAATAGTCAAAGAGGGAGATTGTTAGTGCATTTTTATATTGGCTTATTTTTGGCAAATTAGTTGTAAGATTGGTTGGCATTGTAAATTGGTAAACCTCTTAAGAAAAGTCTTGTTGTCATGTTTATGGACTACAAATCAAAGGATTTGATTGTTGAAAATGAAGAGTGGACTTTTGGGGGAATTAATGGCTGGTAAATCTTCAAGCTTGAGGAGCGTTTTGAATTAGAGGTGCAACGGCAGAAAAAAAAAAGACAGAGGCAAAACATGGTGTGGGGACACAGGGCTGAAAACAGAAAAATCTGGATAGACACATGAGCAACTTTGCTATATATACATAAGTGGCATACGTGAGTTTTTGGGCCCTTTGAAAAAAATATTGGGTAATCAAAGGATACCTTTGGGGCATGGTTTTTATAGAAGAAATATTCAGAAAAAGTCTATGTGAGAGCAAGCCTTTATGTGTTGATTGAAGATCGTCCTTCGGGAGAAGGATTAGAAGCTTTCGGGAGAAAGTGCACTGCCAGCCGAAGGAATTTCGCCGTGCAGTTTGAAGACGAGTGGTGCTCGCTGGACAATGCCATTAAGGAGATTCGACACGGCGGCGACAACGTCAAGGAGGGAGTCTTTGAGTGTATAAGTCCGATTGGTGTTTGTAATCCTTTGAACTTAGTGGATTGTTCATTGTCTGGGCGTGGCCCCGCAGAGTAGGTGTGCGCACTGAACTGCGATATCATTTTTTTGATGTTCTTTACATTCCTGTATTATTTTCCTGCATTTTACCTTGCCGGTTTAATTTCAGATTTACTGTTAAAAACAGTGTTACAGTAAAGTGTTCCAACACTATAATGCTCAAATATGCACATCCAATCTAAATAAAAATTTAAGTTTGGACCTACCCAAACACAAACTTAAAAAGATTCTCAATTCAAATCATAACTCAAATATGCACATTCAAACACAAACTCAAGTTATAACTCAAACTCAACTCAAGTCACTATAACTCAAAAATACAAAAGAACAACCCTTAATTCATCGATGTGCAATCAGAAATTGCAGCCTCCACCTACAAATCAACTTAAGCTAAATTTTAATGCATCCTATAAGGATGGGTCTGCAGGTCTTGCATTTATGCTTCGAAACCATGATGGAGAGCCGGTGCTGGCTTGGACTGGCGTTGTTAACGTTGTCTCAGCCTTTCATACTGAGCTTATGGCAGCATTGCACGTATTTCAAGCAGCTCAACTGAGAAATTCCCAAGTTATTTTCATTGAAAGCGACTGTTTGGAGCTTGTTCGTGCTTTGAGGCAGGGTTCTCATTGCCCTCAATGGGAAGTGATCCCTGATTTTATGGCTTGTTTACAGTTGTTTCGTAATTTGTCTGTAAGGTCATTTAATTGGATGAACTAACTAGATGGATTATATCGCCTCAGTTTACTGGTTTTATTCCTTTTTGGGATGGCAAGCCCTACTATCACTACCACTTTGCGCAATGAACTTGTGAAATAAATAACTTTTTGATTAGCAAAAAATGAGATAAACTTTGGCTCCATATAAGGTTTAATTCACTCTACGGCGAATATTTGGAAAGATGGAATTGATAAAATCAAGGAGGTTATGTTTGATCAGAAGGGGGAGAAATGAAATAAAAATAAAAAATAAAAAAATTTTGAGTAAAATGTTAAATAATATAGGATGTTCAAAGAACAGTCACTAGGGGTCCATAGCTCAGTGGTAGAGCATTTGACTGCAGATCAAGAGGTCACCGGTTCGAACCCGGTTGGGCCCTTATGTTCACATTTTTTTTTTTCAAATAGCTTTCGGTCTTCAAAATTTTGCAATAATATCACATGCGGATCTTTTTCTTCTTTTCAATGACTTTATCACCCTATTTTAGCTATTCTTTAACGGCCTATTAAAACGTTTTTTTAATACAAAAAATATTTTATTAATCAATAAACTATAAACTTTACAGAGAATTTAATACAAAAAACTTGATATAACGTATCAAAATTAGTAGATCTATTAGCGTTCTATACATGATACTTAAAGAGCATTTCTTTTTGCTTGTTAGCTTTCTCAAAATGATTGTAGTAAACCTTATGCAAAGATTGATTTTTGAAAGTTAGTATTTTTTTAGATTAAGCTCGCCGAAGTGGGAGATCTGGTTAAAAACATATAAGAGATAAAAAAAAAAAACAACACAAAACTCACACAAAGTCATAGCTTAGTGGGAAAACACAGCTAAAAACAACAAAAACAACCACACAGATGTAACGATTTGTGGGGAAAAATAAACACAAATACTGACAAAATAACTGTCTTTATTTCACAAACAACTAAAAAAAAAGGAAAAAATACCAACACGAACTCTACCTTCGTGTAGATAGGCCATAAAGCACGAACTTGTAGTCTTGTAAGACTTGTAAATTGTAATCGATATTACATATGCAAAATATATACATACACCGGAAACGGCGGGTTAAGGGAAAAAAAAAAAAACAGCTTAAATCCACACAGGCCCTTAAAATGAAACAAATTATTACGCTATATAGTATTTATAACCCCTCATTATATTTGACGTACACTATTAAAACCTCAAAAAAAAGCTACATAATTAAAATAAAACGAAAAGAACACCACCGCACAAACTTGTGGTCTTATGAGACTTGTTTGTATATGTGCGATGAGCTCCTATAGAACACCACCACACAAGGTTTCCAACAAAAACCATCCACGTCAAAATTCCATTCCCCATTAAAACAACGACGATATCAAAAAACAATACAATGATATCACCACTAAAACATTAATTGAAATGCTAGATGTTCAAAATTTAACTAACGAAATCCACCACTAAAACATCAATAAGATCACCGTAGATTGTCCTATTGAACAAGTATGCTAGCACGTAACCGTGCGTATATCATTTTGCAAAATTTAATGCAAAAAAAAAAAAAAAAAAAAAAAAAAAAAAACCATTTTCCGTTGCACTTCTATACATCACTAACAGCAACCACTTACTACATAATCACCACAGATGTAACATCGTGTTAGTATTGTTGTACTAATATCCTCATATAACCATCATAAAACATGCTAGAGAACACCATACAACAATACATTACTAACACATCACGACTTCAATATGTAAACTTTTCATGAAAATTTGAACCCCACAGCGAACAATTAACCCTAAAGACAAGCCGGACACAACACCAAACCATTTTCATTGCACTTGGGACACCTCTCCTTATCCCCATTCACCATCACCCTACAACTGCCACCGCACTCGAGGCACGGCACGAATCGAGCCCCGCCACATCCCCCGCAAGCCTGCCGGCCAACCCCGCGCTCCACACCAGCATAGGTCAGAATCCTCCCGAGCCGCCCCGCCTCATTCAGGTCCGCCACCTCATCCGCTCCACCGATGTACCTTCCCTTCACAAACACTCTCGGCACTCCAACCTCCTCCCCTAATAGTCCCTTGAGCTCGGCGAGGAACTCGCCGTGAAGGGAAACATCCCTCTCGTCGAACACCACTCGTTGCAACTCCATGACGGATTTCACCTTGTTGCAATCCTCGTACGTCCGGCGAACCCCACGCAACGACGTCGTGGAGACCACCACCGCGTCGGCGCCTCCCGGAGGGCACTTCTCGGGAAACTCGCCTAGTGGGTCCCTCTTGAACTTCATCATCTCCTCGTAGTTCGCGAGGTTCCCTTCCTTCCCTCTCTCCTGCCTGTCTCTTACTATAAACATGTTATCCCTCAAGCCCTTACCCACACCAATGCCGGCGCCGGCGCCTGTAACTATTGCCGGCGGAGTCCGGAACTCGGTTATTGACTCTGTCTTCATCGACTCGGTCTTTCTCAACTCGGTTTGCTGCTTGGGTTTTGACAACTTGGCGTCGAGCTCTTCCAACGTGTGGAAAGACAAGCTCTTCGCAACTTTGCCATCCTTCTCCGCCGCCGGAGCAGGCGGCGGCTGAAGTGGGCCGGGCTTTTCCGGGGCGGGGAGCATTTTTGGGCTGGGCTGGAGAGTGGGCTTGAGGTCCTCGAGGGCCTTGCTGACCTCGACCCAGGAGTGGGGCGGAACTGGCTCGGCTTCTAACGAGGAGAGCTTCTCGAGGATTTGGGCCGGAACGTGGGTGGGCTTTTGGTCATGCGACGCCGTTTCGACCACAATCCACGGCTCCTGAATGGAGTTGATGTCGAAGACGGCGAAGCTCGCCGGCGCCGGGCAGTAGGCGTAGGCATCGGCGTCAACTCGTTTGGAGGAAGCACAACCCATTTTTTTTTTGGGGTTGTCGTACGGAAAGGAATGTTGAAATGTTTGTTATTAGTGTTCGTTTTTGTGTGTCTTGTTAAGGAATTGGATTTAAGGGTGGGTTTTGGAAATTGTGTGGTTTTGATTTGGTGGGGCCTTTTTAATCTATCTGATATTGGAGTTTGAATTTGTGGGACTCTGTTTTAAGCCTCATGTTGATTTTGTGGTTTTGGATGGACGGACCATTGCCTCAGAATATGGGTGTCACGTAGGTGGGTTTTGTTCTTATGTGCATGTTGATCAGAAAAATATCTTCGGCTTGTTTTGTGGTTGAGATATGTGATGGAAAATTAGAGATGATTTTTGTTTTGGAGTTGGAAATCGGGGATTATAGGTTTTAAGATTAATTACATGGTCTCTTGGCTGGGAGAGAACGAGATGAAGGGATTAGAGAATGAATTAAGGGTCTAATTCAGGGCGGCCAATACCGATTCACAAGTTTAGCAATGTTTAAAGTTTGCACTATATTATTTCACTATGATAATTCATGAAATCAACGTTGAAATCTTTAAGGTTCGCAAATAAATCGTTCCATTTTTGTAATTTCAACGTTTAAGTTCATAAATAACCGTAGGACTCCTGATTTTGGTGTTGGGAACTCTTCCTTACATGGCAAAAAAAAAACTCGTTCACAGGTGTTTGTATCTTTGATCAAAGTTTTTTGTTTTTTTGTTTTTTCTTTCTTTTTGTAACACCCTATTTAGTTGGCAGGAGGCCTTGAGTAAAGAGGATAGATGAGTTTGGAAAAACATAAGATATGAATTATCATGTGCAGAATTGTAAGTAATTTCTTAAGTTGGTGGGTAAGAAAGAATCGATAGAGGAAATGATGAATAGTTATTTATCACTCATTTTATTCCTTGTTAATAAATTCGGGACGACAAAATAATCTTTTACCAGCTCTATTATTGACGGAAATATTACATTTTGTAGATTTAAAAAGGGTTCTTCAATCTTCATTCCTCCATCTCCTTCCAACCAAATAGGGGATGAGTCCTAATTCCCCCCCATGTAAGATTGGAAGGATTGTGAAAAGAAAAACGGCAAATAATGCAAGTGCAGCACCAATCCTACCAAACATATGTTATTAAACGAAAAGAATAGAGGATAATGTAAATCATGTGTAAATGAGTGATGCAATCGGTGTAACCTCTAGGCTTCTTGCAACAAAACTATAAAAAAAAAAAGTGACAAATTAATGTTTTAGTGATAACTTTCTCTTTGGAATATGAACTTCTTGCCTATTGTGCATCCAAATAACCTTATTTTATAAGAGAATATCAATAGTGAAATTCTCCATTTATTTCAAACACCACCAACAATTTTATTTTTAAGAATTCAAAGGATTGTTATATACGTTCATTTCGCTGATTCGAGTTTTTCTACAGTAAAAAGCTCTCACAAACAATCACATTTAACTTTTTTGCTACAGTAAAAAGCTCTCACATAAAGTCACATCTCAACTCGAATTAAAAACTCGAATCAGCGAACTAAACGGGCCCAATACTGCTTATATTCTACCTCAATTGGTTATATTCACTTCAATTACTTTTCAACCAAATAGAAGGGCTATATTCATTTACTTATAGATATATATCACATTTATCTAATTTACATACTGATAAAAAAAAATTAAACAAAGATAGATAAAAAAAGAGGGGGAAGCTTTACTCTCTTTTGAGTCCTACTTTTGCCTTTATTTATTTTCCTACTCACTCAACAACCTTATTTTAAGAGCTTTTCAAATTGATATCTTTATTGCATACTTTTTTCTTGCCAATTTATTGATCAATATTGTTTGAGATTCACAGTAGCTATTTTGTTGAAAAAAATTTATTACACAAACTTGAATATAAAGATTCAATTAATAATTTTGCATTTTAAAAACATGAAAAGTAAATTTAAAATACGTCTAGTTGACTTTGTAACATATTTTTAAATCTTCTTTCTTAATTATGGGAAAAGACCATTTTCAAAATTTTCGCTCAAGGCCTCAAATTTGCTTGACCTTGCTCAGTAAAGAATCTAATGACCTAAAATTTTAACTGCAATAATCCTTATGCAAGTCTTGATTCCACTTGACAAAGTTCTGTTTTGTAATTGCCATAATACAAAGCCCATTTTTGCGTGGAGTAGTTGTGGCTTTACGTCAAATTAAATAAACAGCCTTGTTCACTTTGCGGATTCAAATTTTTAATTCGAGTTGAGATGTGACATTTTCTGAGAACTTTTTACTGTAATAGAAAAAGTTAAATATGACATTTTTTGAGAACTTTTTACTATAAAAATCTAAAACTGAAAACTCGAATCGATGAAATTAACGAGACCATAGTGAGTAGAAGTTACGTCAGTGAAACTGAATTTATTAGAACATCAATGCCAAACACAGCAATCAACAGTTTTCAAGTGTCAACCCTATATTTCGAAAATGACCCACGTAATTTCAGCAACTTGTCCGTAGATACAAAGATGATCGAACAAAACTACATTTGATTTTGATTAAATTCCATTGGATATGTCTGATTTTGATTAAATTCCATTGGATATGTCTGAGTCACGGATTACAATACCAACTTCGTCCGTGACATTGATACAATGAATATAAATATAAATCTAAAACCATAAAAAAAAAAACGAAACAAAACAAAACTTTTAGATGCCTATTTGAAGAGGACAGAATAACACACAGGTGATTCAGCAAAAAAATAAAAATAAAAAATAAAAAGAATCAGAAACACGGGTAAATCCAAAACCCCCCAAGCATGCGAATTTGAATTAGGCTCCTTCTGAAATGTCATTTCCTACTACTGTTTTTTTAACCCACTAATCCACCTCATTTTTCTGTTCTTTTGCCTTGGATCAACTCAAAATGTCCTTTTAAATTATTGTACCAACGGTCCATTTTCACATGCCGCCGATTAAGTGTTTTGAAAAAAGGTAACCCAACCCCCAACACTAATATGTCATTTCTGACACCATCCCATTTTCTTTCCACTTGTTTTTACCAAGATTCCTAACTTATATATGACCTTACAATATTGAAGCAAAAATGATTATGTGTGTGTATATATATATGTACTAAGTACCAATCACTAGCTACAATTTTGCAAATGGGAAATTGCTCTCCCAAGGGTGTCTCCGGGGACAACAGTCTCAACTCCATCAGAATCCTTACAGATTCCGGGACTATCCTAGAGTTCAAAGGCCCTAAACTAGCTTCTGAAGTCCTTAATTCCTACCCGAACTGCGGCATTTACCTGCAGGGCCATAGGTCATCACCGGTAGCCAACAACGAGCGGCTACTTGGTGGCAAATCATACTACCTTCTCCCACTAAGGAAGGGGGAGAACATGTTTTGTGACAAAAGTTTCGTTGCAAACACTATGGAAGCAGAGTACGTAGCAGCGGAAGCAGCTAGTAAGAAGATGTCTCACAAAGCGACTGAGTTTGTTGAGAGTTTGGCAAACGGGTCAGCCCTAGAAGTGTTGCCATCTGGTGGGGATGGTGTTTGGAGGGTGAAATTGATGATTGGCACAAAACAGTTGGAGGAGATATTGTCGGAACAAGGCAACACGGAGGCGTTGATCGAGACGATGAGGATGGCTGCGAGCGGCTCAGCTAGCCTCACGCCAAGGCACAGCAAGAGTGGTTGGAGATCCAACTTGTCCAGCTTGTTTAACAAGGTGCCTGCTGATCACTGTCGGAGTGAAAGTGCAGTTAGTGGGTATTTGCATTGTTAATTAATAAGTAATAACTAGTTACTGACCACTTATGAAACTATTATGTTTCTAGGAGAGATTGTTTAGTTATATTTGGTGTGTTGGGATTTTTTGTTTGTTTGTTGTTGTTGTCGTCGTCGTCTGTGTTTGAGTGTATTGTACATAGATCTGAGGAAAATGAAGGTCTCTATTATAAATTATGGTAAATCTTTCCATGCCATGTTGTAATTTCTATTTGAGATAAATTTCTTTTTCCTGCTTATATAATTGTGATCTTTGTTACATTATTACTACTATTATTGTTGTTGTCCGTGAAGCTATCCAAAGGAGATGAGAAATAATTTAAAGAAAACAAAAACTTGATATTTGTTAATCTAATTAATTGTCATACATAATTTTCTTTCATTTTTCTTTCTTAAGGAAATTGCACAACGAGCCTGAAGGCCGATCACACCTTTGTCTTTGCAAGGTCATTTAAAAAAAAAAAAAGATGAGTTTTTTATTTAGGAGTTTCTCTGGTAGAATTGAAAAAATAAAATTACTGATAGTTCTCTATTTTTTAACCATTTAATCTGTATTAAAAATTATTTATTTTAACCGTTTAATATAATTTTGACCAGATTTAACGCTCAGAATTGACCTTATTAGTAGATCAACTTACCAGAGAAGGTCTCTTTTTGTTTTTGTTTATTTTATTTTATTTTTTGCTTTTATTTTTTGTTGTGTTTTTCTCCTTTTTTTTTTTCACAGGCGTTCATGCAATGCAAAGCTTTGTTTTAACCGCTAAGCACGTTAGTACTTGTGTTTGTACTTTGTATGCTTATGTAATCGTATCTCAATACCTTCTTAATTAAGCTGCTACACTGTTGACCACACTAACTTTTTGAAACTCTTCCATTCTATCTATAAGTCCGAAGTCCAATTTTCTTTGAGCCGGAGAAAACCATGTGAGTTTTTGGGCAAAAAAGAAAGGATAAAAATCGGATTTTCAAGGAAGAAAATGTTATGATGAGAAATGTTAGCATCATTCTTTCTATCACTTTTTTATCACTTTTTACGCTCATTATTTAATATGTAGACTCTACTATTTTATTTTTTATTTAAATAATAATATATTATATTAATAGAGTCCACTATCATATATAATAATGTATCATGTTAATAGAATTTACGTGTCAAATAATAAAAATAAAAAGTAATAAAGAGAATAATAAAAAGAATAATGCTAGCATTTTTCAAAAGCGTGAAGAAAGAGCAAAGCAGCATATCCTACAATATGCAACTTCTTAGAAACTACACGAGTAAATTGCTCCATCAATAAACGCAATCCACACAAAACAGAGCCTGAGACAACAAGTTGAAAGCAAAAGTTTTCTGTATGACTGCACCATAATGTAGCCATTTTCTAGTCTACTACAAAATAACTTACCAAGTACAAAGCATTGATACATGATATATTATACTATATACTATAAGAGGCACCGGTTTTACTGTTTCTTCAACAGTGTTCGGTTTTGTTTATCCCTCAACTTTCAAAAAATTTAATCTATGTCCCCTCACTTTTGTTTTTATCGTTTTTCCCTCAACTTCTTATTCCTTCGTTGTTTTTTATTTGGGCGTTTTGGTCATTTCTGTAGTTTATACTAAATGCCTTAGAAAATTTCTCAAGAAGCTTTGTTGCCCCTCTTCTCTTTTGTTTATTACTCATTTAGTGTTAATTGAAGGAGAAAGTGTACTTTAAATAGTGCACTTTTAACCAAAATGATGTAATTTTAGTTGAAAGTGTACAACTTTCTCACTTTTTTTTAGTCTTTAAATTTAGGTTGTTTTACTTTTCATCCTAAAACTTTTATTTTTTTTTATTTTAGTCCTTTTAGCTATTTATTTTTTTCTTTTTGTCCTAAAATTTTATTTTCATTTTGATTACTTTTTCCTTAAAATTTATTCATTTTTCCCTTTTCGTTTTTTATTGATAATGTTTCTTTGCTTCTTGCCTCAAAACTTTTTTTAACTTAAAACTTATGTATTTCTTCATTTTAATCATATTTTATTTTATTTTTTACTTTTTACCTTGAAATTTTTCTTTTTTTTGTTCATTTTGCCCTAAAACTTATTTATTTCTTCATTTTAGTCATTTTTACCTCTTTTTTAGTTTTTACCTGAAACTTTTTTTTTTTTTTTCATTTTGACTCATTTTGCCTTAAATTTTATTTATTTCTTCAATTTTATCTTTTTTAACCCTTTTTTATTTTTTCCTAAACTTTATTTTTTCACTTTAATTACTTTTGCCGTAAAACAATATTTATTTATTCATTTATTCATTTTAGTCCTTTGTTGACTTTATCTTAACTTCTTACTCTAAAACTTATTTTTTTCTTATTTTGGTTCTTCATTGAGATTTATATTGAGATTTTATATGTTTTTAATAATAACATGACAATTAGTTAATTACAACTTAACACACAGATTACTTTGCACGTATTCTACATGCAAAAGCATGTGGAGTTCAACTAATCAAGAACTAGAGAACAATATTAGAGCCATAGAAGTTTAATTAACGAGATAACAAGAAGTTAAATGTACAAAGCCAACAAACACCGGACAATATAGAACCACCAAGAGTGGGGTCTTCAAAAGATCACATCTCACGGTTTCAAGACAGAATAAGAAGCATTAATTGGACAAAGCCAACAACCACCGGACTAGAACCACCAAAAATGGCAGTTTCAAAAGATCGCATCTCACCGAGACTCCATCTTCCTAATGGCTTTTTCTATAGCAGGTACATTCTTCTTGAAGACTGACCATTGCTCCTGAGTCATGCTGATTCCTGATAGAAAACAATACCATCAAACATTGTGTAAGCTCACACTTTTTCCTTTTGTGTTATCATCAAGAAAAGTGTTAAATAACAAAAGAAAAATACTTCGGAGCACCATCACTAATTAAAGATAAACTCACTCCACTTGTGGGTCCCACCACCTACCTTCTGTTAATAAGCGGTGCTTAACACCATCAATACCTTATAGTAATGCTCATAACAAAATGAGATCTTTAGGACTCTGCTTTCAATGATCCGATTTGTATCACATCATGTTAGTTTTACATACAATGAAAATTTCATTAGTTGTAACGTGATTTTGGCCCAATCTAATATGAGAAATGCTAACGTCAGTCTATATCACTCTCTTTGTCATTTTTACCGTTCGACACATGGACTCCACTATCTCATTTTCTACTTAAATAATAATATATCATGTTAGTGAGTTCGCGTATCAAATATTAAATGCAGAAAGTGACAAAAAGAGTGACGAAAAGAGTAATACTAGCATTTATCATATAACACTTAATAGCATGCACCGAAAAGGCCACTTTATGCACCGAAAAGGCCACTTAAAATGGCCCGAAAACATAATGCTCATTCACTCCAACTTTGAATCTCCTCTATATAAGTACAAAGAAGCGAAGAAAAAAGCTAAGCGAGCAATTGATAAGGCTCGTTCTACTTACTTAGATGAGGTATATAGAAAATTTGGGACTAGAGAAAGAGAGAAGGATATATATAAATTAGCTATGATAAGAGAAATGAAGTATCGGGACCTAAATCAAATGAGACGTGTTAAGGATGATACAGATCAAGTTCTGACAAAAGATAAAGACATTAAGAAAAGGTGGATGAGTTACTTTGAGAAGCTTTATAATAATGATCATGCGATAGAGTTTGACAATCTTAGGTCACAAGGATAACCTAATGTGATGTATACAAGAAGAATCAGAGTCTCAAAAGTTAAAACTGCACTACGAAAAATGAAAAAAGAGAATGCATGTGGGCCAGATGATATTCCAATAGAGATTTGGATGGCATTAGGAGATATTAGAATTGTGTGGCTCACTAAGCTTTTTAATGAGATACTAAAAAAGAAGCATATGCCTGATGCGTGGAGAAAAAGTATTATTGTCCCCATCTTCAAGAATAAAGGAGATGCGCTGAATTGTAACAATTATAGAGGCATAAAATTAATAAGCCACACTATGAAACTTTGAGAGAGAGTTATTGAAAGGAGAGTAAGGGCAACAACTACCATCTCAAGTAACCAATTTGGCTTTATGACAGACAGATCAACCACGGAAGCCATTTTTCTTCTTAGGATGGTGATGGAAAGGTACAGAGAAACCAAGACGGACCTACATATGGTCTTTATAGATTTAGAAAAGGCATATGATAGGGTACCGGGGGAAATTTTATGGTGGGTGCTAGAAAAGAGAGGAGTGCATGTGAGGTATATCAAGGTAATTAAGGACATATACGATGGGGTGGTCACGAGTGTGAGAACTGCTGAAGGCTACACGACAGAGTTCCCCATTCGGATCGGCCTTCATCAAGGATCTGCTCTTAGTCCTTATCTTTTCACCATTGTGATGAATGAGCTGACAAGAGAAATCCAAGATAAAATTCCTTAGTGTATGCTTTTTGCAGACAATATAGTTTTAGTTGATGAACATAAGAAATGAGTTAACCGTAAGTTAGAACTGTGGAGACAGACTCTCAAGACGAAGGGATTTAAGTAAGTAGAACGAAAACTGAATACATGCATTGTAGGTTTAGTAACTCAAGTAATTAGAGTGATGGAATTTCTTTAGATGGTGTGAAAATTGGAGCTTCTAGGAGGTTTAGGTACCTTGGGTCTATAGTGCAATACGAATGAGATATAGAAGAGGATATTCAATATAGAATTAAGGCATGGTGGGTTAAGTGGAAGAATACTACGAGAGTTTTATGTGATGGCAAGATTGTCTATTAAGTTGAAAGGAAAGTTCTATAGGACTGCAATCCGCCTAGCTATGTTATATGGTAGTGAATATTGGGCCATTAAGAGACAACATATATATAAGGTGAGTGTAGCAGAAATGCGTATGTTAAGATAGATGAGTGACCATATGAGAATAGATCGCATAAGGAATGAAGTTATTCATAGTAAAGTAGGTGTAGCACCAATAAAAGATAAGGTGCGCGAAGGCCGCTTGAGATGGTATAGGCATGTCCAACGTAAACCGCTAGAAGCACCAGTTCGTGCTTAGGAGGACATTCTTATACTTAATACTAGGAGAGGAAATGGTAGACCAAAAATTACGTTGACTGAAATAGTTAGAAAAGACATTCTAAATCTAGGCCTTCAGAAAAATCTAATTTCAGACAGAGCCAAAAAATGAATCCATATAGCCGAACCTAATTAATTAAGTTGGGATTAAGGTTTGTGGTTGTTGTCGTACATAAATCATAATGTGCTCAAATGTACTCCAATAGTCGAATTCAAATAGCTATATCCATGGACTACATTATTTGTCATTTTTCTTTCATTTTTAATAAAATAGCTTGCAACTAAATAAGAGTTAAGTACATCCAAGGTACTTGAACATTATACAAAAGGGCTAGTATTTCCACACAACGCAACATAAACAAGCTCCAGTGCTTCAAATGGGCAAGCTAGTCTAAAATTCTTCATGAATTACCAAGAAAAAAAAAATTAAAACCTAAAAGCAAACAACAAGATTAAAGCACAGTTCTTCATCTAGTAAAGAAGCCTAGCTAATTTCTTTGTCCACTTATATATAGATAAAAGCAAAAGAAAGCTTCAAAATTTTAGAAATTTAATAAGAGGAGAGTAGAATGTAGAGTACCTTTAAAAGTAGGAAGCTCTTTGCCATCTTTCTTAAAGTATTCCCTTATCGACACTAACGTTTTCCCTCGGAAATCTTGGATCGTCACTTTTCTCTTCTCCGATAGCTGAACCCAAATAAAAAAAAAAAAAAAAAAGTTTTAGGGGAAAAAAGAAGACAAAAAATCAAAGACTCACAATCAACAGGATCACGCTTAAGAATTACGAATTCCCTGTTTTCCCACACGTTCTCGGCAACCAAACAGTAGAAACAAAAGTACGGCGAAACGGAAACAAACCGACCTTGCAGATGATGAGGTTGCCTTCGTCATCGTAATCCCTGCCATTTCGCTTCTGTTCGTCCTCTTCTTCTTCTTCTTCCTCCTCTTCCTCTTGCTCTTGCTTCTGTTGTTGTTTTTCGAGGAAAGACTGTACGACCTGTCGTACGAAGGCTTTGTACGGCGGCTTGGAGAGGTCTAAGGCGAGCTCCTCGGAGGCCTGCTTTCGAATCTTGTACTCGGTCACGTCGTCCATGTTGGAAGATTCTAGAATGTTCCGAACCGTCTTCTCGATCCTCTGTTCCATTTCGGCTTCCATTTTTGGGTCCTTTCTCTGCTCTCTGACACCAACAAAATCCGGTAAATTTAGGGCAAAATCTCGCTGGTCTATTTCTGTGCTAATTGTGATGCCAGGGAATGAATACGTGTGTGCAGTGACACTGTGACAGGCTGAAATTCCCGAAATGGGCAACTTAAAAACGACACGCCGATTAGTTTATGAGCTACGTGTCGCTTTAAACGTGGTTTCAAATACGACCCGTCGTTTCTAAGACACGTCTTCAAGGTGAAAGGATCGTCGTTCTTTTTGGACTATAAAAAGATTGTCGTCTCTTTTGGTTTTTTTCATTTTTTTGGTGTACTTTTGGTTTATTTATTTATTTATTATTTCTTCTTTGTGTATGAGATGTGCCGTTTTTAACTGAAAATTGACACACGTTTTTTTTTTTGTTAAGGTTAAATTTCATTCTTTATTTATCAACTTATACGTGTCCTCATACGTCTTAGAAAATATGATTGAATCACGAAATCGGCTCTCAGAAATAATCCGCTACCCGTCAATAGATTCGACCGCCTAAACAGTCATTCGAGCCGCGGAGATGCAACATCAACATTCTGAGATTATGGATTGGTTCTATTATTAAATCAACACCAAAATGTGGAATCTTGCCCATAAAAGTAAAAGAGAAAGTCAATTACACTAAAGCCTGCCTCTTAAGTCACCTCCCTAAAAGGAAAGAATCTCTAATAAAAAATCAAAGGGGAAATTTGTTCTAAATTATTTTTCCAACAACCAAGGCCTATTTTTATAGCTCTTGCACGACCATAAAGAGGTGACACGCATACAAAGACACGCCATCTCCTTTCTCACATTTTCTTAGAAGCTTTTCAACAGTTTTCTAAACATTCTTATGTATTTTCCGCATATTTAAGGTTACATAAATAATCGTAAAATTTTGAATGATATTCATAAAATATTCAATAATATATATACATAAATAATAAATTTTTTCTTTTATTATATAAATAATAATATCATTCATTACATTTTATACTTTTAGAACACCATTCTGAATAATATGAATTTGAATGTGTGTAGGGATGATACTTTTAATAAGAATGTAAGTGGGGCTATGCTTTTGTAGAAGTATTGTAATAATCCTGAAGAGGCTTGTGGTATGGGTAATAGTGCTGAAGAAGTTAGACACAAGAGGATTGTAAAATTAATTTTCTGTGGTCAAAATTTTATAATCAATTGGGCTTGTGTTTTGAATGAAGGTTGGAGAAAGACTCTGGCATTTACTTCTACGAGAGGTATTTCGAGGTCTATGGTACGAGGAATAGAAGTACTTATCTATAATTATGATTTAAGACTAACTCATGTATTGAGATATAAGAACAAAAATATCTTGAGGCAATCGTTAGCCACATTTTATTCCTCGTATTTTTTTTTTTTAGTTTTTTTGGGTCCAATGATATTTGTTAATTGTTTTTCGCATTAGACTTTCCAAGTTCTAACTTGTCTTTGTTGTCATTTTCCATCAAAATGGGTACAAGGATTAGACCTTATCAATGCTTTCATGATTCTTCAAAATAATTTGGAGCTTTTGTCGAAAAATGATAAAGATCTTAGGAAACTAGACTAATCAATGCTTGCATTTTGACACGGTAAAACAACGTCTAGTTCACTATACGACACTTTTAAAATTCTTTTTGTGAGCATCGACAGAGTCACAGAGAAAATATATTGAGGTGGAAAACATGTGAAGAATTGAATAGGAAAAAATAATAAAATAATTCAATTTTTTCTTTTCCCATTTAATTTTCTTTAGGTAGATACACCATTGGATCCAAAGCCTTTGCTCAGAATATACAAATCCTCAAGTAGAACATTGACTTCAACAGAAGATATTCTTCAACCATTTTTATATATGTCATCAGATCTCTCTTCAAACAGAAATTTGATAACCCCTTCAAATCTCCTTGGTCATTGCTTTTTCTTTCTGCGTAAGTTGACATCATGACATAAAGCAAGTAATAAGTATGAAAAAAAAATATTTGAACGCAAAAGAAATAGAAGAAAACATCACCAAATGAGAATGAGTGAATTAATTGATAAAATGGTATCAGGCAAAGGCGTGTAAGAACATAAGCAACAAGATTTCAGATGCCAAAACTTTCCTACTTGGGGGTTTTATTTATGGATTAAGTTTGAGGATTGTAAACATCAGCTTGTAAACAATTTTCTCTCTTACTCAAAACATCCAAACTTTTACATTCTCTCTAAGTCACTCTCAAGTGAGAAAAGTGCACAATCAAGGGGAGTTGTGTGTTTTTACCTTGACTGATCCTCACTGCTAGTTTCCACAGGTCCCCTTCCAAAGGCAACCTCATCCATGCTTTGCCCGCGCCGCCGATACCGACCACCGGATGCCACAAACCCGGGGCAGGGTCTGTAAGCCTTTATAGGCCACCAACCAAAGCCCGGGATTGTTGCAATTCCTCCTTGGATCCTTCCCTCGCCATTACACCCCTTTTCCACTTCTTCCCTCCCACATGCCTTGCAACCACTGCTCATAAATTAATCGTTCACACACCAAAATTTATAGATATGAGCATTAGTTATAAAGAATAAAATAAGCTCGAGTCTCACATAATTTATATATAAAAAGAAATCTAAACTAAATTTGACCGCCTTATCAAAAAATGGAACCTCAAACTCTTAAAAAGTTTAATTTCTTATAGTATCAGAGCCCAACAAGCTCTAATGAGTGTCCTCATTCAGCGAATACAAATTATTTACTCTAAAGAAAGTAGAGTCCCGAGGGATCAATGAAAAACAAATCAAATCTCGACCTCTGAAAGCATTTTTCTTCCCTCGCAACATCTTCCACATCATTTAAATATAAAAGTAAATATAAATTTATAAAGACATCAAACTACCCCACTTAATATATTGACCTTTTAAGATGGAAGGCAAGGTCTTAGAAATTCCCATTTCTCTTATACACACCATCCAGCAAAAATTTTCATAATTATGGGAGATATCAACTGTCAAGTGTGCAAGACTCCTAAAATGAAAGTTACTTTTTTAAAAAAATAATAATTTATGTAACTTTTTCTTCATAAATTTGTCTCATCTTGCATACCACAAGCAGCCTTTAAAAACTGAGCTTGAACAAACAAACAAACAAAAAAAGGGAGAACTAAAATTGAATTCTTGGCAAGAAAGCCTTCATTTGACTTGAAAAATATTCAGTAAAAACGGCTTTCTTTATTTCACTTCTCTAGCCAATACTCTGTATACTTTGCTCCACTATTTTCAAAGTTCCCAAGTTTCAGAGTTCTTTGTGTGTTTTTTTTTTTTTTTGGCTCTGATTTCAGAGTTCTTTGTTTAACATTTCTTGTTGGGTCTGTAAATGTAAAGTAAATTAAAGTGTAGAAAGTAGTGGAAATACCTGAAAGGAAGCTTGCCAGAGTCTTCATTAATGGCGGAATCTGATTCAATCGGAGGAGGAGGGCCTTCTTCCACAACCGAAGCTGAACAACGAAGATTCAGATAAGACTTTGTTTGGTGTATTTTGAGAGTTGTTGAGCCATGAAACTGTCTACTTTTACTGTGACAGAATTGAAGGGATTGGAAATGATGGGGTGCTTGAACTGAAACTACTGCAATTCCCATCTCTCTCTCTCTCTCTCTCTCTCTCTCTCTCTCTCTCTCTCTAGATGTGTTGGAGGCAAAGGAGGGAGAGAGAGAGAGAGAGAAGAGAAGTGAATAATAGCCACCAAATGCCACTCTTTGTTTCCTGCGCTAAGGATATGAGAGGCCGAGAGTTAAATTACGTCACTGGAATAATAACGGTATGGCATTAAATATCTATGGTTAATACTATGTGGCAAGTTTATTTTGGAGAAAAATCTCATCGGAATCAGGATGATGGAAATGCCAAATTTGATTTTGAGCTAATAGAGGACTATTTTTTTGGGGGAAAAAAAAAAACTTTAATGTTATTGTTCAATAAGGACCAACCATAATTTTTAGAGTTTTTAAGGCCATTAGTATCCTAAGTATTATTAGGATTGTAATGATTTGATGTTATTACTAGATTATTTTTTATTTTTCTTTTCAAAGTTTTGTGCTTCACCCAAATTATCAATAAGTTTTCAAAATATAATAGAAGTAATAATGTTCTTATCGCAGGCTAAATGGAAATTCTACAGAAATAATCATAGTAAGTACAAAATCTAATTTTTTACGCATGTTAAAAATCTTTAAAATAGTAAAATTTTGTGAAATTTCAAGTATTTCACATGTAATTACTCATGTTAAATTTCTAAAATCTGTTATAAATTTATAGATAGGGACGAAAGTTACCAAAAAGATTTATTAAGAGTAATAATTTTTTTTAAAAAGGTTCAGAACCAAATCATCAGGATGCTATTACTTTAGGGATTAAAACATAAAAGAAAAAAAAAGGATTTCAGCACAAATAGTCCTTTTTAAAGGATTTATTTTTCATAAATGAGGGAAATTTTATAAAATTTTAAAAATGACTGTTTTAATTAATTTATTAGTGAAAAACTGATTGATTAACGATGAATCACTAAATAACTTTAATTTATCATATTCTTTATTATTAATTAATATCAATTAATAATTAATTAAAATTAATTAATAATTGATCAATTTCAATTAACAAATTATAGGTTTATTAATGATAAATCATTAATAAATTATGGATCAATGACAAACCATTGACTGTGACTCAAGCACTAACACACACCTAAAAGGTCATTTTAACAAAATAAAAAAAATTCAGTAATTTTCATAAAATAAAACGATATTGAGTTAATTTTCTTAAAGAAGATCCTACAATTAATCTGCTAATTAATCCACCTCTTTTAGTTCGAGTTTGACCTCTACTATACGTCTCGTCGTTTCATAAAACGGCGTCAAAATGAGTGTCGTTCACTGAAAGGAGGCCGGTTTGGCTTGACCTCCGCAGAGGAACAGCACATTCACAGCTCTGAATTTGAAGCATTCCTTGTTGAAGAAGAAGAAGAAGAAGAGGATCGTTCGCCGCTTTGCTTCCACACTCAGGCAAAACCAGAGAAGAAAAGGACGAGATTTCCATAGGCATTTGAAGGAAGAAGAAGATGGAGAGCCAACTGGTGAGGCTTTGCATTGAATCAGCATGCAAGAGCAGAGAAAGCGTCGAGCGATGGCGGCGCGAGAAGCGGAGTCTCGAACGCCTCCCTTCTCAGCTCGCCGACGCCCTCCTCCGCCGCCTCCTCTCTCGCCGCCTCCTCTTCCCTTCCTTGCTCGAGTAAGTTTCTCTTTCTCTTGTCAAAGTTCGAATTTTTCTCTCAATTATCCGAAGAATCATTGTTCTCGATCGATCTCGAAAATTCCAATTCTAAAACTTTTCGACAATTATTTTGATAGTTTTTTACTAGTTTAATTTTCTGAGGTTTTGCGGTTGATAGATCTCGAAAGTTCGAAGAAGCTGTGAAATTTCAGCTGATTTCTGCTTCCTGTCGTCTCGACTTAGTTCGCTACTAGTTCTTAGCTGAATAGAGTAAATTTTTCAGTTTTGGATCTTCTGAAGAACAGTTCAGATTCAGATGCATGATAAGTCTCTCTTCTCTCGTTAAATTCAAAATTTCTCTTAAATATCCGAAGAATCATATTTCTTGATCTATCACGAACGCCTCTGAGCTCCAAAGTTTTCTCTGATATCTGAAGATTAGTTCTCGATTGATCTCGGGAGATTCCAAGTCTAACGATTTTCAATGATTTTTGAGATAGTTCGTTACTTCTTACTAGTTCTTTGCTGAACATTTCCGATTTTTTAAGTTTCGCTTTTGATTGATCTCGAACGTTCCAATAAGCTGCGAAATTTCCACTCGTTTCTGCTTCCTCCCGTCTGCGACGTAGTTCGTTACTAGTTCTTTGCTGAATATCGTAAAGTTTTCAGATTTAGATCTTCTGAAGAATAGTTCTTGATCGATCTCGAACGTTCCAACCTCTAAGATGAAAACTTAGCTCCATTTTTACTCATGTCAATTGCGACACAGTTCATTACTAGTTCTTTGCTAAACATGGTTTCACGTTAATTTTCACCAACCTCTGATTGGTACCCATGTTCAACATAGTTCGTTACAAGTTGTTTGCTTAACATTGCAGAGTTTTCAAAGAAAGTGTAGAGGAGATTGATCTCAGAGGGCAAAACTCCGTGGATGCTGAATGGATAGCCTATGTAGGTGCCTTTCGTTACTTGCGTTCCTTGAATGTTTCCGATTGCCATAGGCTCACTAACTCTGCTCTTTGGCCAATTACAGGTATAATCTACGTCTGAATCTGTGGGATTTACAACAAATTTCTAATTTTCTACTATGTATGTGAAATGATTTCGGTTTTTCTAAGGGATGACGAGTTTAAAGGAGTTGGATCTTTCGAGATGTTTGAAGGTTAATGATGCTAGCATTGGGCATATTGTATCCATTTCAACTTTGGAGAAGCTATATATTTCTGAAACTGGAATCAGCGCAAATGGGGTTAAGCTTCTCTCTTCGCTTAAGAACTTGTCTGTCTTGGACTTGGGTGGTTTGCCCGTCACTGATCTGGCACTCAGTTCTATACAGGTACTTCGATTTTCTCAAGTTTGTGTTTTTTTACTTTTATTAAGTTGCTTAACTATATTTGTGATCAATAGCTCATGCTTGAGCTATCCCAAAAATATGGATTATTATTATTAACACTTTATTACGTTAGGACTATTAGGATATTTCATGATGTCCTGGGTTTTGACGCTGAAAAGAAATTATCTTTCCTCCTAGGAAGGGATTGTTAGATGAATGACAAATTATCGATGAGAATAAATCCTTTTAATTTTTTCTTTTTCTTATTTTCTGATGTTATTTTTGATATTCTACACCATCTCCTGCAATGTAGCATTTTGGTTCATGTTTCTTTTTCTTTCGTTTAGGTACTTGCAAAACTACAATACCTTGATCTTTGGGGAAGTGAAATATCCAACCAAGGGGTTTGCGTTCTTCAAATGCTACCCAAATTGAGTTCCTTAAATCTGGCTTGGACCAATGTTGGAAATCTGCCGAATTTGTCATCCCTCGAGTGCCTGAACATGAGTAATTGTACAATTGAATCTGTACTTGAAGGGGATGGTGATAAAGCTCCCTTAGCAAAACTTGTCATGTCCGGAGCCACGTTTGTTGATGAATCTGAAGCCTTTTTGCATATTGAAACGAGTTTGATGTCCTATCTTGATCTATCCAACTCATCCCTCCACAGATTTTGCCTCTTACCTCGTCTGAAAGTGCTGGAACATTTGGATCTCAGCTTGACCATGATAGGAGATGATGCAATTCAGGAAATTGCAACTGTTGGAGCAAATTTGAGATATCTCAATCTCTGCAAGACAAAAGTCAGCTCAGCTGGAATTGTGATTTTAACCGGGCATGTTCCCAACCTTGAAATATTGTTATTATCCAACACATCAGTTGATGATGTAGCCCTCTCATACATCAGCTTGATGCATTCTCTGAAAGATGTTGACTTGAGCAATACAAACATTAAAGGTATAAATTTTTAAATGCAAATCGTTCAAGTTGAGGGTATATGCATATATCAGTAACAGTGGATGGAGGAAGCACTAGAGTCTTCCACGATCTTTTTATTAGGCTGCATTTGCTTAAGCCTTCATCTGTAGTCCTTAAACCACTTGATACTATGATATTTTACTCTAGGAAAACTGTGCTGAAGAATGATGCGCACAGTTAGCTTGGTATGTGGTTATATTTACCTATTACACTAAGTATTTTTGCTTCTTGTGCTTTCAGGTATCATTCACCATATTGGCTCTGAGACGGATCCAGTTCCTTCATTGCAAGCATTGAAAAGTCTCAGGGAGTTGAAAAGGTTGAATTTGGAGCAAACCCATGTTATGGATGCAGAACTATTCTCAGTTTCAGGCTTCCAGGAGTTGACTCATTTATCACTCAGAAATGCATCTCTTACCGATATCTCTTTATCCTATATGTCATCTCTACCAAAGTTGACAAATCTAAGTATTCATGATGCTGTGTTGACAAACTGGGGACTCACCTCATTTCAACCCCCGGCAACACTGAAATCAATGGACCTGAGGGGTTGTTGGCTCTTAACTGAGGATGCGATCCTATCGTTTTGTAGAATTCATCCTCAAGTTGAAGTAAGACATGAACATGTTCATGTATTACCATCAGATCAACTTTGTTCTGATCGTCCATCTGCTTCCCGGTCGCCTTTAAATACAACACAACAAAGTCAGGAGGATAGAAAGATTCGCATATCACCGTGTTTTATAGGTAAGAAATTTCTATGAACATGACCTCTTTTTGCAGCAGCATTATTAGGTTCCATTTAATTCCATTTGCAAACTTTGTGAAACAGATCAGAGATTGAAGTACACCAGGGAAGAGCTTCTTGGGCTGCAATATTCATCTTTGACCCCTGTAACTCCTCACCATGTAGATATTGCGACGTCGAAAATGCAATTGAATTAGTTGAACTTGCTTCTAAAATATTTTTCTTTCATGTTGCAACTTTCTGTATCTTATTGTTAAGATATTCTTTTCCCGTCAATTTTCCTTAGGTCCTTTCTTTTCAACGACAAGGCAAGAAAGTTTGCAAAGGAAAATGAAAGAACATGTTGAGAATGTCAATGTGGTTTTTAGTCTTTTTACGAGAATCTGTCTTTCGCTTTTGCCGTACAAGACCTGCGATAATGTTTCGTTTATGGTTTACAATGAACCTACTAGATGTTTGTACTATTGCATTTCTTTCAAGGAAACGAGTAAGAGCTTCTTAAGAAATGACTTGTGTTTGCTTCATTATGATGTTTCTTTGAAAAGATGTTGTACCTTTACGCGCATTCGTGACAATTGTGAATACATTTCATCAGCCAAAAAAGAAAAAGCAACAACATTCATTTATAAAAAATAATAATAAAAAAAGGCGGCAAGATTTACTGGTTTTTTTCCTTTTGTCTTTTTGCACTTTGTCGAGTCGGAGACTAATGTAAAAGAGAGATTTTAAGAACTTCACGGTTACACAGGCTGCAATGGATTATGAATCACGTGAAAAGGAAAATGTCTTTTGGAGCCAAGTAACTGCTTAATAGGGGCTAAACCTTTTTTCTTAAAAGTGTTTTATTTTTATTTTTTATTTTTTTATTTTGTGTGTGTGTGCGCGAATGAATTCAAGTCTTAAAAGGAATGCAATGTATAGAATAGAATGTGACCTTCCTTCATAATAATAATAATAATAATAATAAAAGAATGTATGTGACATATGAAGAGAATTGTAGCTAAAAGAAAAGGTCATGAAAAAACAAACAAAAAGGTTCCACCGAGATTTGAACTCGGGTTACTGGATTCAGAGTCCAATGTCCTGACCACTAGACCATGGAACCACAAGCTGCAGTTGGGAAGTTTAATTTATTTATACTATAATAAATGCATGACTGTTATTATGTCAAAATCACTTGTTCTTAATTCTTATGTGGTTTTCTGCCGGATGATGTTTTTTTTTCAAAAAATTTGGACGGGGATTTGAACCTATTATGATGAAGAGTAGTTATATTTGCACCCCAAAAATTTATAGATGTCCTTATTAATTAATGCTCATTTAATAAAGATTTAAAAAATCTATCTTTTTATAGATATAATTTTCATAATACTTAGTTTAACCCTTCATATCCCACATAATTTTATTCTCGATTTAATTTATAAAATGATATAATCCCTTTCAACTTTTAATATATTTATATATATTTAAATTAATGCAATTCTTTTTACTTTTATTTATCAATTGTTTTCGTCTTACTTCCTTCTCCTTCCTCTTCTTTGAAAAAAGAAGCACAAAAATAACTCTCCGAGTTTGATCCTCACAAAACTGCTCCTTTGATTGTTTTGGCTAATTATATTGTTAATAGGCAAAGTTAATGAAGACTTGTTCTTCATTTCTTGTTTTCAGATTGATTTTGATTTAGTATAAAATAAATGGAGTATATTTTCTTTATTCTTTTAAAAAATACTTTTTAATTATAGTTAATTTGGGTGTATGTACTTTAATTTTTTTGAAAAAAAATATTATTTCTATTTATAATTAATGTGGGGGTATGTTAATAGATTTTAATGTAAAGTAAAATTGTAATAATTGTAAATTATGAATTGGTGGGGGCATTAATGAATTTGATGGGTGCAAATAAAATTACTCTAATGAAATGAAACATAGAATTACCGTAGATTATATTTGCAACCATCAAAAATCTACATTTCAATCAAACACAAAAAAAACAAACAAAAAAAACAAAAACAAAAACAAAAAACAAACAAAACAAACAAACAAAAACAAACAAAAAAAACTTCTATAATTACCTTAAAAAAATATTGGATGACATATTTTCATATAAAAGAAGCATATTTTTCTTTTGGAATAAATCAAAATTCTAAACTCCTTATTTAATATATAAGTACATGTTTAGCAAGGGAGAGAGAAAGTGAGAGATGAAAAGCATAACAGGAAGAGAATATTAAAATCCAAGTAGAAAATAAAAAAGAAAGAAAGAAAGGAAATAATTGTTTGGTAGTAGAAAAAGAAAAGAGAAGAAATTTTCAAGAAAAATGAAACTAATAGTGTAAGACAACGTAATCATGGTGCTCATGTATTTTGTGTAATATTTTTTTAATTCTCTTTTTTTTTAAGAAATTCTTTTCTAACCGTAAAATCTACATATTTTTTAACTTTTATGTGATTTTATACACATTTAACGGATAAAAAACACAACCTATCAATATGTTAACATATCAAAAAAAGTCTTTTTTTCGTCAAGTAGAAAAAATTTTCTTCAAAATCCATCCATTTAAATCCTCCTACTTTTCCACTTTTTACCAACCGTCTTAACGCAAGTGGCTTACAGAAAGTTATGCTTTAGACAGTGTTAAGAAATCAGATAATTCTATTAGAGTATGAAAATAAAATGACAAATAAGAAAAAGAAATCCCCATAATTTTTTCAGTCCTATCATACCCCCCCTACTACTAAATTGTGCTTGGGTAGTTTTCTTTTTCTTTTTTGAAAAAAAAAAAAAAAAAAAAAAAAAAAACTATTAGACCATATAATTTGTTGAGGAAGATTCTATTCCACTTCAAGATAGTGCAGTCAATAGAGCAGTGTAAAAGAGTAAACTTTAATGTTAAAAACTTGGTACGCATAATATTTGGAAAAAAATAAAAAATGCATGAGACATAATGCTCATGCAAATAGTAGAGATCACATCCACTTAACTTTATTGCTGTTTCCTTTACAATTCATTTACCCTCATTTCTGAAACTTCTACTTGAATCCACTCTTTTCCAGAAATCATGCTTCACACCCCATTTTCCCGAACTCAGTCCCATATTCCTTGAAATTCTAAATCTCAATCAAAACCAAGGCACAAATCGAAGCAATAATTCCAGGAAAAAAAATGATGATAAGAGTTAACAATAAAACAAAAGGAAAATAAGAAGAAATAGAAAAATGAAAAAAGATGACCTCTTTACCATAGACCAAACAAAACTGAGGTTGGAAAAATTAAAAGGATCTTCATGAGAAATCAGTTTAAGAAACTGACCCTGCTAACAAATACCAACTATTTTGATAACTAGTATTTATAGTATCACTGCTACCAAGTATTCTTTTTTCTTGGTTACCCATGCACAATCTGTTGCTCCACTTCTCCGTCCATGACGGAGCTGTGATGATGCACCATATACCACCTTCCATTGTGGAACTCGAAGACATTAGTCACATTGAAAGGCCCAATATCCACATCGTCGACGTACGTTTTCATGGAAACCCAAGCCATGTCTGTAAGTACCCGAGCCCGAACATCCCGTACCTGAAAGTTGATTCCTTGCTCCCAATTGAAGGCAAATTGCCAACTATGAATTACAGCATTATAACTGCATGGGAAACGAAAATGGATAAGTCCCAGTGGAGTACCAACAAAATCTATACAACAATGACGATGCAAATAGATATATGGTGGATATTTCAAACCACAGAAAACCGATTAGATCAAACAGGATTACAACAAGATGCTTTTGTCAAATGACACGCTCTTGGATTATGAGCAATTCTTTTTTTCCAAGGTTTAGGCTCTAGCTAGGTAAGTCTTAAAAAGTTAGATACCAAAGTTTATGGTCATTTTGGAATTCAACATGATTCTCAGTAGAATGCTAGGCACTGGAACATCTAAGAGTCCATCTCACATCATTCTATGCCAAAAACCGGACTAAATAACTTGGGGCTCAATTTTAATGAGGAGAAAATGCTGGACGAAGAGACCAGCGTATTAAATAAACTCGTGATCTCCCAGATAAAACATAAGTACATAAACAAACTTGTGATCGGGCATACATTGCTTACATTGCTTAAACTTGCTCCAGAACAAACTTCTCCTCGTAAATCTCCCATAAGCGATTGACATTACAAAAGAAAACTTTCTAAGTAAATAACAAACTATGCATATAAGAAAACAAGAAACAGTAACTTCACAAAACCGATGTCAATATTAGCTATATTTGAATTTCAATTAGGTTCTATACAAACTTATTTCCATGACATCTATTCCAAACCTAAAAATAAACCTCATTTAACTGACATCAAAACATAGGGAAAACATAAAATGGAACTTAAGAATAAATTAAAATTTTTATGGCGATTGGATGTTATGTAATTATCACAAAAAAAAAAAAAGAAAAAAAGAATGAAGTACAGTACCCTGAGAAAAGGTTTCCCGAGGCATGAACACACTTCACGTAGTCTGCATTTAGCCAAAACCGACTCATTGCTTGAAGTGATCTATCTCTAATGATGTTAAAGAATTCATTATTTACATTCACAATTGCTCTTGTAGCAGCATAGTAAGCTTTCCACCCGTTTACTGGTGTTACATTATCCTGTTCCAACGTGAAGTCCTGACAGATAAAAAAAGAGTAAAGAATTACTCTTTACTAAGAAAATGAAAATAAAAACAGATGTCTAGTGTTATAAAGACTTCCTTTCATCTTTATTTTTCCTTCAGTTGCAAATTGCAATACCCATATATGAGATAAATCCTGTTAATTTCATCATCTAAAAACACTATCATGTGGCAAAGCAATACAAACCCTAAAGCAGTAGATCAAATCTCAACAGACCAAAAAAAAAAAAGACCCTTGGCCTAAAAACAAGTAAAAGTAATAATAATAAAGATAAGCAAAAGAATAGATTGTCTATTGTCTACTTCCAATTTCCTAAAATTCTCATAATATGGGAGCTATGAGTCCATATCCAATCTCATCCAAGTACTTCAGAATAAAAGTCACTAGAAATGACTGTTCCTTTTTAACATATTCTGCTATTGACAGGAACCAAAATCTGGCAATTGTAAAGTGCATAGAGTCAACAGCCTAAAATGATGATAAATTACCCTATAAGATTCCAGAAATTGGCAAACTTTCAATCCAATTGAACTTTGTTAAAGTGTTCCCAATTCGCAACATTTTCTCAACCATCCAAAGACCAAAGTAAAATCCATCAAATTCACAAATTTCTGAAAAACCTCAAACTTATCACAGAACAAAATTCAGAAAACCTATATATATATATATATATATATAAAACCCATACCTTGTGATAAAGAGCTTTCCAGGCATTATCATCGTTCGCAGCCTTTCGCATCAGAGAATTGGTCATCGAGAGACGACAGAGGCTGGGATAATCCAAGTAGCTGAGGGCGTGCGTCGTAATCTCCGGAACCAACTGCTCCATCATCGACGCGCCCGTCTGTCTCTCTCTCAAAACCGGCCAGTTCTCCGCCATTTCCGTACCATTCAAATACGGCGCCGTTTCGCCCTCCGAACAGCCGCCGACACTCCCGTTACAGCAACAGCGACAATCGCAGAGCTTCTCGCTCCTCTTCTCACCGCCGTCCGATTGGAGCAGTCTCGGCCAGAGCGGTAGCGATCGGGCGGAGAAGAGGACAAGGAAGAAGCAGAGCGCGGTGAAAACAATGGCTACAAAGAGAGATTGAGACGAGAGAGCGGTGGAGAGACTGGGAAAAATCTCCATTGATAAGACATGAAAGCTTCACAGAACATATGAATAGAAATCTGCTGATTTTGCTTTCGTCAGATCGATACGGTGTCGTATCGGCGTCGTCGCTTTCTTCGTTGATGGAGGCGTTTCGAAGCCCTAACACCTTCTCAGTAGAATTTGCAGAGAGAGAGAGAGAGAGAGAGAGACGACGTTTGATTGTGAGTCGTAAAGCCGTAACGGAATTGGAAGGAAAAGCTCAAAACGCGCACCGTGAGAAAATAGTACAGTACGGACAAACCTTTTTCCATCGTCTCTTAGGACAATTTTGTAATTTCATTTTCTGTTTTTGCTAGTACAGATTTGTGATTTCATTTTGTTTAATGGAGAAATTTTCATTAAACCAATGTTAGTTAATAATTTGGAATTTATCTGGTAAAACTGAAAAAAAATAAATTATTAATAATTTTTTATTTTTTAATTGTTAAATTTATATTATAAATTATTTATTTTGTATAATTTTTTAATTTAATATGATTTTAACGAAGAATGTCTATCTTTTTAAATAAGAAAATAAAATAAATTCATGGCCCAATGATCTATTCCTTAATTTTAGCGGGAGTATATACCGGTTCAACATAAAATTACAGTGTTAAAATCTCGCTATATAAATCGTCGGACTCAAGCTAAATGGATCCTGCCTTATATGTTTTTTCCTCACTTAAAGTTGGAGCTAAAACATTTATCGTGAGTCCCATTTAAATAAGGGAATGTTTATTGTCATGAATTTAGAATTATTTTCAATTTATATATATTTTTATGAGTCACGAACCATAATTTAAATTATAGCACGAATTCTTACTCTAAATGCAGACTTATAGAGCTTAATGCATTGAAAATAAATTTTGAAGATTGATAATTTTAATCGTAATGAGTTTGATGTTTTGTTGTCAGATTTATCTTGCTTTTTTTAATTAAAAAAAAAAGTCAACGAGCTATGTTTTATTTTTGTGATGATAAAGTATAAACTGTGTGTTTTAAGGAGAATAAATAAAACAAGTCACCTCTTAACTTCTTATATACGTGATAAGCTTGGAGGAATCTCCAATAAATTGTACATGATGATTTAACTCGATTTTAATAAATTTTAATTCCATAAAAATAAGAAAATTAAAGTTTGTTAATGTTCACTGTTACATTGGGAGAATGAGTTAAAATCCAACAGCACAAAAGCATGAGTCACGAGAATATTTGAACTAGGGAGCAAAATAGATGAAAGATTTTTTGGTACATCTAGGTTTTTTCAACCGTTGAATCTGCGTACTTTTTGACTTTTAAGTAATTTTATGCAGATTTAACGGACATAAAATTTGACCTACCGATATATTAGCGTATTAGAAAAAAGTCTCTTATAATATAAGTTTTTTTTCTCACTTAAAGTTGGAGTTAAAACATTTATTGTGAGTCTAGTTTAAATAAGGGATATGAGACTAACTCTTCAACTTATAGAGTTTGATGCATTGAAAATAAATTTTGAAGATTGATAATTTTAATCGTAATGAGTTTGATGTTTTGTTGTTAGATTTATTTTGCTAATTTTTTTTTAAAGTCAACATATTGTCACGGACCTTTTCTTCTTACAAGGTAACCATGCGACGTTAGCACTCTCAAACTATGCTAACAAGCCTAACTTCACGCAAACGCAAGACTAATAAAGTGAAAGTAGAGAAACGAGAGTAGGAACACACGAGAAATTGAGAAAGTGAAAAGAGCTTCACTAAGTATGGTAAACCTTTACAATACTTTACACTCCAATATTTTTGGTTGTCTCCCACAAATGAAGGGACCACCCCTATTTATATGCCAATGGGACCCTCCCATGAACATTCTAGAATGTTAAGGATTTCCATCTATCCTATAACCTTCTAGAGAATGCTTACAAAGTGTGGGCACTCTATAAGTTTCTAGAGTCTTCCACAAAGGACTACTCTATAGAACCATTCACAATGTTCTAAAGAACTTTAAGGTTTTCCCAAAAACTAGACTCCTCTGGAATTTTCTAGAACAATCCATATGTAGATAATTGTAGAGTGTTCTAGAGAATTTCATAGTCTATACTTTCCTAGGATTATTTAGAATATTTCATATGGTAGACAATTGTAGAACATTCTACAGAATCCTAGGGTCTTCTTGCAAACCTCCAACACTTAAAATGGGGCAAGAATTTTCGGATTGTGACAATATGCTATGTTTTATTTTGTGATGATAAAGAATAAACTGTGTTTTAAGGAGAAAAATAAAACAAGCCACTTCTTAACTTCTTACATACATGATAAGCTTGGAGGAATCTCCAATAAATTGTACATGATGCTTTAACTCGATCATAATAATTTTTAATTCCATAAAAATAAGAAAATTAAAGTTTGTTAATGTTCACTGTTACATTGTGAGAATCAGTTAAAATCCAACAACACAAGCATGAGTCACGAGAATATTTGAACTAGGGAGCATAATATTTATAATAGGAAAGATTCTCTGATACGTCTAGGTTTTTTTAACTGTTAAATCTGTGTAATTTTTTATTTTTATGTGATTTTATACAAATCTGATGGACAAAAAATTTGACGTACCGATATATTGGCGTATCGGAAAAAGTCTCCTATAATATTTATATGGGTTTGTCCCCATAATTATTACTTTTGTTTTCCACAAAATTCTGCTGTATATGTGATTCTTATTCTGGGAATATTCCCGTTTTATGTTACAAAGTTGACCTCCAAGAGTTTAGTAAACTAGAAAAATCGTCTGTGGTTCAAGATAATCTTCTTTAATAATATATGGCTTTATAATTTTTTTGCGTGGCTAAAAAAACAAAACATCTTATTGCACTTTGCTTAAATAATTTATTCCATTTGACTACAGGACATGGCCATTTTTCTTAACCTTTTTTTGCTTTGGGGGACACTCATCTTTAACCCTTTTTCCAGAGTACAAAAAAACATCTTATAGTGCATGTAAACAAAAGCTGCATGCTTAACCAAAAACAAAAAACTGCATAATCCGTATAATTGTTTGTTTGTTTGTTTTTTTTTCCGGCTGAAATCCGTACAAAATTTGTTGAGATTCAAGAAGTGATTCAAATATTTCGTTTAAAAGGGAAAAAAAAGACGTGATTCAAAGAACATTTCTTGGCAAAATGAACATGTCAGAGATGCACAAAAATTTGTATTTACCGGCGTTTGTATAGCGGTAATACTACACTTGACTTCACTCTAAGTATAGAGTTTGAATCCCTCCACTTTAAAATAAAAAATAAAAAGAAAGCGTTGTTAACAAAAAAAAATTAATCTCAAGCCATTTCCTAAGAATTAAATTCTAAGTATGGCCTGCAAAGTTAATTTTATATTTCATTTCAATTGCACCCCAAAATCATGCTTTTGCAAAAACACTGAACGGCATCAAAACTTGTAGGTCCCACTGTATGACTCATGTGAGATGTTTATGTCGTTCAGTGTTGGTGTCGTTTAACGCTGCTCTTATGTTTTGTGCCGCAAACAACCGACAAATGTATAAATCAAACGACATATTAGAAACTTTGATGACACGTTGAAATTGACACACAACTATGCAAACGTAGTTGGGTCCTTGGGTTAGTTAATCACTAGTTGGCACGTGGATTAATTAAGAAAAAAAAAAAACAAAGAAAATCGGTTGAAATCAATTGAATCTCCAAATTATAAATCAAACTAAACATAGACTACGGCCTCGTTCACTTCGCGAGTTTTCAATTTGAGCTGAGATGTGACATTTTCTGAGAGCTTTTCACTGTAGTAAAAAAAGTTAGATGTGACATTTTCTGAGAGCTTTTTACTGTAGAAATCTAAAACTGAAAACTCGAATCGGTGAAATGAACGAGTCCTACAAAATTCCACAAATCGTCTTCAAAAAATTTTACGATCACATGCGCGCCTCACAGCACCATTGATGAAACTGTTAGTTTACCAATCCATCCCAAAAACTTAAGCTATTAGAAGGTTATTACAATGGGCAATCGTGTGAGTAAATTAATTAGAAAGCCCAACACGTGAATATTTAAGCTCGAGATATATTAAAGACTCAACACGTGATGACAATTTAAATGGGGATAAAGAGTGGAATTACGAGAGTTTAAACTCAGGACCTCCCGCTCTGATACCATGTTAGTTTACCAATCTATCTTAAAAATTTAAACTATTAAGAAGTTGATCAATAATAATTTTATACTTTAACAGAAACAGCACAATCTCAATCAGAGGACATATACAAATATGAGGTTGGAATACCGTTCGAGATTCCTTCCACAATATCATTGTACTTTGCTTTTATTTAAATTGTACAGTTACGATCAATGTCTACGCAAACCGTAAAGTTTCCATTTGGTATTAAGAAAGTTGTTCAGCCAACATTGTCAGTGATAACGACTATTCGTTCAGCAAAGCTTAAGATTCATATATTGGTCTGCAATTAATACCATTCCTCTTTTTTCAAAGATAAAATTAAAAAAAAAAAAAAAAAAAAGAGACAAAAGGGCAGATAAAAAAACAAAGATATTCATTAAACTATTTGCTACAAAATGATGGAACTAGCACTAGCTATATATCAATGTAATGAACACTGTCATACTGCTGCTAACAAGGATTAAAACCCAACCTCTACTTGTCTTGCACATTTTATTACCAGACTGAGAGGAAGAGGGTCTAAAAAATGTCAAAATTTGTACTGAAACTATTTTGAGAATTGAGAAACAAACAAAGAGAATACTAATCGCTAGCACAGCGAGCTCCTTGCTTTCCAAGCTTGCCTTAAAATCTTCTATCTTTTCCATCTCTAGTCTGTGTAAACAAAGGCAATAAGGAGGAAAAGTGTCACCATATCAGTAGTCAAATGTCGCTTTAGATTGAAAGATGATTGAAATGAGTTGGGTAATTCTTAGTGTAAATTGCAATATTGCACCCTACACTATCCGTTTTTTGCAAGATTCGCACAAGAAAAGTAATAATCATCATTTTTCAATTGAGGTCCAATAGCTAATGGATGTTATCAAATTGATGGTTTAAGACACAAGATTCACACGAGAAAAGTAATAATCGTCATTTTTCAAACCATGTCACTTGCAAATATCATGTTCAACTGTCAATTTGATAACACCATCATTTATTAGACCTTAATTGCCACTAATTTTAAAGCTCATGATGCATTTTGCTAAAATTAGAAGTTTAGTGTACATTATGCATAAAAATAAAAATAAAATAGTTTAGGGTGCAATACTGCAATTTACTCATTCTTAGATTATCAAAACGATGAAAGTTGACATGTTTCTTTCTAACCTCAATATGTTATTTTCTGATACCAGTGAATCCAGCTGAGTTGAGACAAGAGCTTTCCATGACTCGAGGTCAGTAATCCCTTTTTCCTGGAAAAGAAAAGAAAAATGCTCAACACTTTGATGCCTTACCATTGGAAAAAGAAAAAGAATAAAGATAGAAACAGTGGAAATGAATACAAAAATGTATAGTACCGAAATCTCCTTCCACTCCAAGAGATCTTTAATCTCTTTTTTGCTTTTCTCCAAAAGCAATGATATCTTTGCTAGTTCATTATCAAGACCTGGCAAAAGATCTCTTTGTCTCCTATTCATTTCTTTGATATAGTCCTCTAGAACAGACAAGTTCACCTCAAGTGACCTCACCTTCTGCATCAAAATCTTCAAAACCGTGTCGCCGGGAATTCTACTATTCGTCTGCTGTCTAACTTCCATAACAGGATCAGGAATCTTGCTGATAATCTTGCCTGAGACTGTTGGACTTTTGGTAGCATCTGAAGATGGTTTTTGTGCATCATCAATCTTTTCTGTCCCTACACTGGAATTTTGGTTCCCACTTTGACCTTCTGCGCTTCTTTGGTCACTTGAAGCAGCATCTGGTTTTGAAGCAGGCAATGCACTTGAATTAGACTCCGGTGATTTATTTGTAGCCGGTTCGGCAGAGGCCACCAAATCTTCAAGCATTCGCTCGATTGCATCAACCCCATACACCTCTACAACACTCAGAGTGCAGTAAAACTCCGATCCATAATGACTCGTAAGATTTAGTTTCAAGTATCTTACCCACTTGGGCTCAGGAAGCTTGAAAGTTTGAGTGTGCTTGACATTTGAAGCAACAAAGTGTCCCAGTGGGGACCACACTTCGGTCGGATATCTTAAACTGCTGGACAATTCAAACTCCTTGAAGTTGGAAGAGTAGTGTTCAAAGTTCGCGATTTTGACAACATCAACCAGAGTCTGCTCGGCAAGCTCAATCACAACAAACTTTTCCCTCACAGAACAAGGATTTCTTAGGTACTTGTCATGATCCTTTTCAAGTATGTTGCTTGGTCCTTTCGCTTCCTTATTATGAGCTACCACCTTCGCACCCTTAGACGCCAAGGCGTAATTGTATTCAGCTCCATCAGTTTCAAGCCGGTGGGTTATGTTAACAAGCTGAGCAGGTGTCTCCTGACCCTTTTCTTGCCTTGTTATGTTTCGAAAATCATCAAGGTTGAGATAAGTGGGATGAAGAAAACTTCCATTGGGAAGTTGTTCTCCTCCAATTGCCTTCTGTTCTTGTCTTTGCTGTACTTCACAAGCTAAACCATTGTATCCTAACACACTCCAAACCACTTCTAATCTGTTAGTTTCAGGGTCCGAGTACTTGGAAGTCGAATAATTCTGCTGGATGCGGGACTTGTTACAGCTTTTAGAGGTGTTAAACTCTAAAAGCATCCAATTTGATTGTTTGTTGCTTCCATTTGCTACATGAGAATTTATGTTATCGCAGTGCTGACCGCCGCTACAAATTGTGCTTCTGTTATCAGAAAATAAAAGCCCTGAAGAGCAAAGGCCGGGGTCAATATAACACTTCGGAAGGAAATATAGAATAAAGGGTAGTTTGAGAATTTGTAGATTATACTAAATATTGAGTCTGCAAAACACAAAAAACCTATCATGGTCTTCGAGTCTCCATAAATAAACTATACCATACAAATGGCATAAATTTTTCCTGTTCTTGAGGGAGACATGTGAATGCACCAATAGAAGAACTCATGTCTTTGCATAATAGCTCTAAAGATGAACATAACTAGTACAGAAAAAAAGCATTTACAAAAACTATTAGTAAGCTAAATAGCCACTCTCTTATGCTAACAAAAGCGGAGACGGGTCAACTATTGGCGGGTTTGAGCAACTTCGCATATGTTGAATGGAGACCTCTACAAGGAAAAGGAGGACTCAAGCATACAAGGAAGAGTTATTTCTTATCTAGCAACGCTACTAGCTTCTTATGTGCATTAGTGATTTAACTGGTATTTGGACCATACAATGTTAAACAACAACTCTTCTTTTTCTGATTATCTTGTGGTGTTTAAATACAATGTTAGCACTTCGATTTAACCAATTATTCCATGAATTACTTGAGTATACAATAAGTCTTCTTACATGATCTCTAATTAACTAACTAAACTAACTAACAGTCTCAAACCATTGGCCTATTTTACATGAACCATTCATTGCTTTGGGGTCTAAGCAGACAGGAATAGCAAAGGCGTAAACTTTATTGTTCCTTATTCTTCCCTTGCTTATCTGAAAGATGAAACAGATTTCTTGTGCAAATGGCTTCTAAAACAAAACCTTAAGATGGGTGTCGTACCCAAAAAAAAAAAAAAAAAAAAACACAACACAACACAGCACAAAATTTTTAAAAATTAAGCAATAAAATCCAAGACTAAAGGATGGGTACAAACAAAAAAAAATTAAAGGAAAGAAATGAAACTGAAATGGATAAAAATAAATTAAAAAATAAAAAATAAAAAATAAAAAAAGAAGAAGTTACCTCCATTCCCTTGGCCAAGGCCAAGTTTAGAATAGAACAAGAAAACAAGACACCAAAGCGAGAGAATCAAGGAAAGAGAGAGCTCGTACAAGCTTTTCCTGTAGTTATTGCATTTTTTAATGTTGTTGGTGTTGCCGTTGTGGCATCTTACAGGTAAGGAGGGTGGTCCATTTCGAGGCTTCCTCATCTCTCATCCGTACAAACACAAGGCTTTGAACTTGAATGAGCTTGAAGGGATTTCCCGTTTTGCTGAGTTTTGCTGTTTCATCAGAGAGAAGCTTAGAGAGAGACAGAGAGAGAGAGAGAGAGAGAGAGAGAGAGAGATTTGTTTTTCCTGAGAAAGTGGAACTCCAAATAACATGTCCTTTTTGGTTTTGTGGCTAACTTCAACTCCAACTCTTGCGGAAACTGCTTTGCGGTGCTTAAATGACGCTTAATAAGGCGACCAAGTTTTTTAAACTCAAAACAATTATTTATTCGCTTTTTGATTGGCTAAGAAGTGAAATCCACTTTGCTGATTTGCTTGCAGACAAAAATTTGTTAGGAAAAAGATAAAAGTCAGTTTTTAGTTATTTTTTTTTATCGTTTTGTAAAGTGCTTGTTTTGTTGTGCATTAATCCCATTTTGTCCTTAAATTATAGATCATGTTTAGTTTCACTTATGACTTTCAGAACATTTATATGGTTTTAATGATTATTTTAATATTTATTTATTAATAAATATTATTATTTTAATTATAAAATATTAATCCGACAGTTATAATAAATTACATAATTAATAAAAAAAGTTTATGACAATTAATGAGATTAAATTTTTATCACATAACGTTATTAAATTTCTATATTTAAAAATTATCACTGATAAAAATGTAACTATTGAAAACTCGTCTTTCAAAACATATCTCCAGCTTAATAAGTTGTTTTAAGTTAGCCCTTCCCTGTAAAAATGCTTTTTAATTCATTCTTCATGCAATTCATGTCTTAGATTATGTTAGACATAAGTATAAAGTTTGGAGTTATTTAATTCATGCTTCATTTTATTACTTTATATCTGATTTATCTATGTTATGTTATTTTCCTTTTTGTTTACTTATGAATTATGATTTATTTTAAGCCATGTTGTTTTCCTTTTCCTTAAATTTATATTGGTTAAGGCTATCGATTTAATCAATAAATTTGTAGCTCGTCATCATTGCATGCGAATTGCCCAAGTTACACGTGATGCACAAAAAGATAGCGGATTTGTTTCTATATTTTCTTGAATCTTTTTTCTTTTTTTTTTATGGCTGGGCTCGGCTCGGATAGATAATTTGATAAGCCAATTAATTTTTTTACGTGCTTCAGAGTTAGTTAACAATTAACATGTAGTTAAACAATCAATTACGAGCATAAAAGAGTTTAATAGTCAGTTTTAATGAAGCAACAGCTACATAAACGAAATGGAGTTGCAAAAAATTAACTTAATTTTAATTTTATAACTAAAAGCTAACATCAACTGGAAAAAAAAAAAAAAAAAAAAAAAAAAAAAAAAAGAAAAAAAAAACGAAAAAAAAAAAAAAAAAAAAAAAAAAAAAAAGAGCTAACATCGACGTGATATTTAGGTTGGTTTTCAATTGCTGAAAACATACTAACTTGTACCTCATTCCCGGTAACTAGAACTATGAATGAATAAATATTTTCTCAGCTAAAAAAGACCAAAATTTGACATTGAAATTATATGTTCAGCTAAGCCTTCCAACTAAAGCAGAGGCATAAACAGTTCAGGAAGAAGCGTCAATCAGCTGCGTCCTTCACCGGGTTTCATCTTTTGATTGATTTATGAGGGCGTATTCAATTTCGTGACAATCGTCTTGTCTGACGAACAGAAGGCTCCCTGGATCATCTTCCTCGAGAAGAAGACTGATGGATGTTTGTGAAGGGTACTTGTCCAAGATGAAGTCAATTTCTTCACCACTGATTTCCTTCTGATCAAGAAGAACCTGCATTGCAAACCATAAAAGAGGACATAATACACTCCCCCCAAAAAATAAGGCATAAAAAGTTTTGACACTTTTTTTTTCCTTCTGTAGAATCTAAATAACAATTTGAAAAGAACTTGATAAGTGTAACCAGTGGCACAATTACCTTTATAGTTTTGAGCAGAGCTGCATGGTGCCTCTGAAGCAGAGAGAGCGTCCTTTCATACATGTCACGTATCAGCTCTTCAGTCCTTTGAGCAATTTCGTCATCAAGATTGAAGTTGAGTGGTGGTTCTATTAGGCCATAGTCATCGTAGAGTGATCCTTCAAAGTCCAGTCTCGGACCGACAAACTTAACCTTCTTCCTCCAAGGTGGGGGCTCCCCATGTATGCGCATTGGATTCTCCAAATTCCAACTGTAAGAACAGGAAGAATCCGATAATGAGAAATCAAAAGACGCAAGAGTGAAAAGATTACATAGGAATGGTGGCTGACATGGTTAAGATTTTACGGGCAAGCCAAGATGCATCTGCGAGGTAGTCAACTGATGCCCTTGATGTGTCTCGTCCATAAATGACCTCTTCGGCAGCCCTCCCTCCAAGTAAGATCTGTAGAGATGAACTCGGTAAAATAATATGATGCGGTGTGAAAATGAAGCACTATCAGCCCAAAAATAACAAACCTGAAGGCGGTGCAGCAATTGCGGCCGACGCTCAAACATGTATGATTCATCATCAAGCCTGTGAAATACAAGTTGTGATAATGTCTGCAGAGATAACTTGCAAAAGTTACACCGTGAACAATAACTGAAATATTCAGTCAAAACAGCCACGAATTAAACAACTGCAATGTGAAATTACCCAAGCAGATAGATGTCAAGTATCCAGTAAAATAGTCTATCATAAAAATTAAGAACTACAACGATCACGGGGACAATTAAAAGACTGGTAGACAAGTTAACATTGTGATGTTAAGGAGAAGAATAAGGACCTGACCACGGGGGACAATTGAGATGCGGTCACAGAATTCAACTTTAGCATTCTCATAGCGCCTGAGCAGATGAGAAGTCATAGCAACTCCCACTTCAGTAGTAGCTCGCCGACATTGTCCCTGATGACTCAACTCTATCCCAACACGTTTGGGTCCTACAGTAAGTCTGTCAACCGCATCATCCATGTCTGACTGAAGAATTGATTGATGCCCCTTCCTTACAGCAACAAGTGCTGCCTCTTGGACCAGCTGAGCCAATTTTGCTCCCGTCCATCCTGGAAACTTTAGAATGAGTAAATGCAACCCTCAAAATAAGAACGTCAATAAAACAGAAGACAAGCAATACCAGGCAAGTTCTGTGCATAGCTTGATAAATCAACAGATCCTGACATTTTTACTTTGCTAGCGTGGATTTTCAAAATCTCTAATCTCCCTTTTGCAGCAGGAGGGCGAATTCTTATCTACAAGACAACAGATCATCCCCTCAAATCAATAGAAGTAGCTTAGTATTCTGTCTTTTTTCCATAATTTTTTTTTCCCCCTTTTCCATGATCTTTTCAAAAGAGAGAGACTTGCTAAAAGTGTGCCCCTTCCATAATAAAAACAAACCTTACGATCAAATCGACCTGGTCGAAGAAGAGCAGGGTCCAACAAATCCCTACGATTGGTAGCAGCTAAAAATATAACACCTTTTCCTGTATCAAATCCGTCAAGTTCAATCAAGAGCTGGTTCAGTGTAGTTTCCCTTTCTTGAGTTGCTGCATTGTATAGGTGGTCCGTAGATTCCTTGAAAATTCCTTGACGCCTGGCCACATAGAAACAAACCCACAATCTTTTAATATATGAATGTGATATAAAATATTAGTGTTTCTCAATAGCCAACAGTTTGCATTATTTTTAACTTTTTCATTCACTAAATCTACACAGTAAGTGTGAGCGTGATTTCTTAAAAAATCTTTGGTAGAAGTTTCTTGTACCTAGTTGCCAATGCATCGATCTCATCAATGAATATAACTGATGGTTTGTTTACCTGCACGGAGAAATAACAACATTCTTCCTTAAATGGTTTCGTTTAACATGCATTGTAGCATGAAGAGTACTCCAGTCACAATTAACAAGCAAGAAGAAATACAGGCCACCAGATTTTTTCATACAAAATAATACAGAGTATAAACACAAGATTACTTTCAAAAAAGTTAATGTGAACTTTAAATGACCAGAAAAAAAGGCATAATCACCTTGGCTCGCTTGAATAGATCCCTAATACGAGCAGAACCAACACCAACTAAAACTTCAACAAATTCCGACCCAGCCATTTGGTAAAATGGAACGCCCGCCTCACCAGCTATGGCCTTAGCAACCAGGGTCTGGAAACATGGAGGTAATCTTAAGAATCCCAAGACGTAATCTGATCCAATAATTTATAGAACTGAACAAAGTAACAAACCTTGCCACAACCAGGAGGGCCCTCCAAAAGTACCCCATGTGGAGGTTTTATTCCCATTTTATCAAATAGTTCTGGGTTCTTCAAGTACCTCACCAACTAATAAACAGAATATAATCGTGTCACTAACATCATTGTCAAGGAAAATGGACGATAGTTGAAATGAGACAACGTTGGGCACAGTTACAGTGAGACTAAGAAACAGAAATATGTAAATAAAAGTTCTATAGTTCCTTGTCAAAACAAAAGATAAAAATACATATACAAGGCAGGCGAAGAAATATGCAACTACTATACGCTCGCAGACAATGCTGCAACCATTGTCACAAGCAATTCTATGTGAGAGACTGGAAAACAGTACATACCTCCTGGAGTTCCTCCACTGCTTCATCAATCCCTGCCACATCGGAAAACTTAACTCCAGTCGAGCCCTGAAAGAATTTCAATATAGAGCTTTAAGAAACTTTTCAAGTACTTGAACAAGATTAGGAAGTTGTTGGAAACTGAGTTGACGAAGAAACTTACATCAACACGAGCTTCTGCTTTAGATCGCGAAAAATCAATCCCTTGCCACAGATCCTAAAATTGTAAGCATTTATTGTCAGATGCATGACATCACGAAACTCGATAATGCATGGAAAATAAGACAGTAAATAGCAAACGAGGCAATACTTACCCACTTCCTAAAGTTCTTAGGTCTTCTTGAGAGTGTGAAACGTACAAGAAGGACCATAGTCAAAAGAACAAGTGTAATTGGTTTTAACACCTCAATACTGGCGGATACACCACCAAAGGTGTAAAACCGAGAAAATGAAGAGATGATGCCTCCATCGCCAAAAAATTCAACAACATAATCTGAGACTCTTTCAAAAATACCAAAGATGATCCCAAAGAGAAGTTTGACAAATGGTCTGACCACAGGCCATACAACATATACCGTTGTCACATATACAAAACTGGTAACAGCAAATACAGCCGAAGCCATGTACCCTCCAATAACAACACCAGCAGCAGCCATCAGAGCTGTCACCATTCCAAGCTCCACCATGATTCTGCTAGATAGTGAAGATGCCACCGGACTTGGGTACTCTGGTAATTTGCCAATCCAAGACTGCAGCAAAGAGCAAAGCAGTGAGGGAAAATAAACATGTCCCACTTAACATACCACTTAACATTTTTTTTTTGTCCCAGAGTGTATTCCATCAGTGTATTGTTGTTCTGCCTTACGAAGATGGAATCAAATTAAAATCTCTTGAATTCCTTTGTGTCTAGTCCTAGTTTCACCTCAACTTCAAAGGCAAAGGCTTCTTAAACTCTATTATTTCCCTTTAAACTAATTCCAACTTAAATTTAATGACCAAACTACTCTTTTATTCACTTTTTTTTTAATGAAATTTAATAAACTAATCTTTGTTCACAAGTTAATATTTAACGAAGCAAGCTCAACTGAGTTATGAGATTGATCACCGTAGTTTGCTTCTCTATTTGATAGCGCGGACCGTTATACTCCTCGAGAAGATCCAGAGCTTGATTCTCATCCAGCCTCATAGCCCTGAAAAGGTAAATGCATATGATAACATCAACTTGACATTAACACCCCCAAATTTCCAAAGGAACTCAAATGGTTAGTCAATTTGTTACCATCTTCTTCTCTGCAAGCTCTTGTCCCCCGGAATTTCCTTCAATTCGACGATGAAATCCCTATAACCATCACCATTTGACATAACACTGGTAACCTCCTTCCAAGTCAACATCTTAACCTTGTCACTCTTCATAGCTTTCTGAAAATCCACAAAGCTCATCTTGGGCAATGCCTGTAAATCCCTCTCGAATTCCGCTTCCTCTGATAATTCCGTCCCGAAAACTTGCTCGGGCACGTAGAGCTTGCCCCTATACTCTCTCAAAATGTCCTTCAAAAACACATCACCCTCATTCTTCTTTTGACTATCATCCCTAACCTTCTTCTCATTCAACCTCGAATTCAATCTTTTCACCAAGTAATCAAAACCGCCATTATCGGAATCCTTGCTCAAATTCTCCTTTTCCTTCAACGTATAAAACTTATCACCAATTAAGTATCTCGGTTCAATTTGGCTTGGATTCTCCTTCAAAACTCTAGTCACAAAATCTTCATCACTTGGTTTGATAGCCTCACCGGCCTGTGACGTTGCCTCGGATTTCGATTGGCACGAGACGGCCGGTGACCGGCGGAGAAAAAGCGGCGGCGGCCGACCAATCCGAGTGAAATTGAAACCGTTAGAGTGAAGTCTAGGTATAGAGTGAAATCCATGGCGGCGAGTCTGGATTTTCGGAAGGTAAATCCTTGGAGATAAGCGAATGTCAATGGCGGTCATCGTTGAAGCTTAAAAGGCAGAATTTTTTGCAGAAATTCGAGGTCGTTCAACTTGAGATTTTCTTGAAGCTTGAATTGCCAGAGTTGTGGCAAATCCTTATCGTTCTCATTTTAGGGTTTATAGGAAATTTGGGGGTTTATCATAGTTGAGACAATGTTCTCTCACTCTCGGATTCTTCAGTGAAGTCTGAAGCTTAACGTTGCTTTTAGCGGGTTTTAGTTCCAGCGGATATTATCGGTTTATTTTGCTTCTTTTCTCTTCTCTTTTTTTTTTTTTTTTTTGTTTTTGTTTTTGTTTTTCCTCGTTTTTGCGGTGGTCTTCTTATGAGTCATAGTTTTTAATTATTAAGAGCTCGTTCATTTCACCTATTTGAATTTTTAATTTTAAATTTTTACAGTAAAATTTTTTTAAAAAATATCACATCTAATTTTTTCTATTATAATGAAAAACTCTAAAAAAATATTACATCTCAACTCGAATTGAAAACTCAAATTCGTGAAATGTCACAGTTTTTAATTATTAATGGCTCGTTCATTTCACCTATTTGAGTTTTTAGTTTTAGATTTTTACAGTAAAAAATTCTCAAAAAATATCACATCTAACTTTTTTTATTACAGTAAAAAGCTCTAAAAAATATCACATCTTAACTCGAATTGAAAACTCAAATTCGTGAAATGAACGATAAATTCGATAAAAATCACATCAAATTAAAAATTATATAAAATAAATAAATTTTAATATAAATTTAATGATTAAAAAATAAAAAATTAATAATAATCTATTTTTACAAAGATTATAAGAGAAAGTTTCTTTTTTAATTATTTAAACTATGAATGTTCACCTTAAAATTTACTCCAATTTCCAATTGCAAATCAGACAGTTGGAAACTTGGCATTTCAAACAACAGTTTTTAAAAAAACTCTTCTTTAAAAAAAAATGTAGAATTCTATAGTATGATAAAACTGTTTTAAATCCTATACATATAAAAATCCTTTTTGCCAGATTTCATATATTTAAAACTCGAAGACTTCTATAAGAAGGCAAGAGACAATATGTTATCAGTAAAACACAATTATAAATCATCACAATTTTATCAAATTTTGGTAAATTATCACACGTTTTTTTATATCATATCATTCGTTTTTTATATGATGATATATCTGATATAATCCGACGGTTTAAAAATGCATTTATAAAATCGTAGCACAAAATTCATCTAAAACTCTCAATTTTACACAGGCTTAGTCACTCATGTTTGGTTCCCCTTGCTGCCATCTAGCATCTAGTTGCATTAATAAGGATTCCAGGATATTGGATAATCTTTGAGAATTTCAGTGTATTATTTATCTTTATTTTATTTCTCACTCTCTGAGCTGTAAAGGGAGATGAGGATAAACATTCTATGTCCTTCGCTTTAAAAAAATAAAAAAAATTGACGAACTCACTTTTTAAATACATTATTCTAAAATTTTTACTTTTGACTTTTAATTAATATTATTTTAACTAATATAGTTCTTTTAACTAAACGGTATTAATCAAGTGTAAAGAATAAAACTATTAAACCCATGCATTCTAAAGGTATTACAATTTGGCTAAAATAACCAAGTAAAAAAGTAAAATTAAAAAAATGACTTTTTAATTTTAATTGCCCAAACACCAATTTTTGCTGGTCTTGGTCTTCTTCGAGCCCTCACGAATGACCAAGAAGGACCCAAAATCCTCATCCCCCTCTCTCTCCCCCTTCAGAACCTTCAAGATCTCCTCTTCTCTTATGCTGGAGTTTCCAAATTTTGTTCTCCAAAAAGTTCTTCCAATAATTTCTTTTTCTTCAAAGCAAATTTCTTCAATCTTGCGGATCTAGAGCTTTGATAGCTGGGGAGAATGAATGTGAAGAAATCAAAAAAAGTTGCCATGACTGAGCACTTCGTGAGGGAGGAAAAACGGAGCTAGCTTCAGGGAGGATTTTGGGTTCCTTTTTTTTCCCTTTTTCTTTCTTCTCAGAAAGTCATTTTACAAATAAAAAATTTTGAATTGTCATTTTATGAATAAAGCTTTTCTATTAGATTATTTTTACAAAGGCCTCTCTTTTTCCGTACAAATATGAGGAGTGTAAATGAGTGGCTATTCAGGAAATCAACCTACTGATATGAAGATTTGACCCCTTCAGTCCCTTTTATTGATAATATAAAATGGATCGGATGCTCAAACAGAGACTCATGAAAACAAAAGCCTATTTCCAATTATCAACTTATACAATGACTGTGTTTTAACCATACCTTGGGTTTAACATGTAACTATCTACAGAATACAACAATTAGTAGAGAGCACAAGCTCTAAAGGAGAGAATTTGAGAATTGACAATGCCATTGGCGTGTCCTCAAGGAGAACTACTTTTTCCCTTATGCTTGGCAGCCTCAACATACTGCTCTGCGAGTTTCTTCACCTTTTCGCCTTCCTTGATAAGGAAATTCGCATTCTTGGCTTTGCAATGGTATTTCATAACCTTCTCAGTTGTTTTTGCCACAGCCCGCCTATATTGTTCAGCTGTGATTACCCCACTTTTGCACAACGGCCTTATGTGCTCTTTTATGTAGGCTTCAACCTGTTCGAAAAAGATAACATTTGTGGGCAAGATAAGGAACATAACCAAAACACGCTGTCAAAAACAAGCATAATAATATACTGGAACAACAGATGAAAAGTGGTTGAGATTTGACCTTCTTAGATATAGAATTGTCCGGCTGTTTGATTGAGTCTGCATTAGATTTCTTCTCCTTCTGACGAGCAGTTTTGCTCATTTCGGAACGGTTTGGAGAACTTTCTCCAGCAGAGGAGTTATGACCTATGCTTGTAGATTTCTCCGGGCAGCTCTCATTCCCTATTGCTTGGTTTGGCACACAAGTTTCAAAGAGTCCACTTTCAGCAACGGCTTCTGCATCACCTAATCCATTGAGCTTTGCTAATTCTCCTCCTGGTAATTTCGCGATCACTGGTTCTTTGTCAGGGCCATATAGTTCTTCACATTCTGCAGCTGAAAGCTCTTCACCTTCTTTACCAAATAATGCTTCTGTAGGAAGCAAAGAATTGTCGGTTCCACCCTCCACTGTCGAGTTACCAAACCCCACATCAGTGTCCTTGTCAAGCATGGAAGATGAATGGTTTGGCAATTCAGCATTCCCCGAATTCTCTTTCTTTTCAACATCAGAAATATTACTTGATCTTTCAGAGTGGAAAGTGGAGAAGACTAATTTCATTTTAGAAGCACCCTCTTCGGGCTGTACCTTAGAGACTTTTGGGGCACTAACACCAATATAGTCCTCATCATCCAAGTTATACTCGAATTCGCCATAAATATCCAGATCTGCAACATTGTCCATTTCAAATATATCCTCAGACCCATCATCTCCGACATTTATGGAGGGTTCACCTTCTTCACGCTGAACTTCCATCCTTTGATCTGGACTATTTGGAGGAGAATCGGAGAGAAGACCAGCATTTTTCAGTGCTTCTTGAATTATAGGATCAGTTGAATGTTCATTTTCAGCTTGTTTTGATGTATCAGGAGGATTTGTAGACAGCAATGAGCTATCCATCTCTGAGACTTTGGTGGACAAGCCATTGATTTCTGGGCCTCTACTGGACTTGTTTTCTGATCGGTGTGATATCTCTTGGGAACAAAGATTGAGATATACTGGCTTGCTGGTTGACCTATCAGCAACGTCCCTTTCTATATTAACTGCATCAGCCACTGCTAACTCCGTTTCTGCAGATCTTCGAATGACCGGAAGATTTGCCTTCCTTAAAAGGTGCTCTGTTAGGCGGTAAAGCTGTGCCTATACAAGATGTTGATAACATGATCAACAAATAAATTAATCTCCATTTCAAATTATCTAATAAGAAGTTATAACGTTATAAAGGGGTTTGCAGACCTTAACGTTGGTTTGGGATCCAAATAAAAGTCAAGTTAGACTGCCACTTTATTTAGTTAGGAAGTATACTAAATAAGACTTCAAAATTCCTTTTGGTTTTTCTGTTTCTTCTCTGGGTAGATGTGTTAGATATCAGCCCTTAGGAAGGTGTAGGCTAAGAGGGGCTAAATGGATTGAAAGAAAGGGGGCTGGGGTCTTGATGTAATTTCTAAGAAAATGGCTAGTGTGTGTGTGTTGAGTCGCCAGGGGTGCAGGGAGCGTTATTAGTGTTTGGCTAGGCTAGATGTTTCTCATTATGCTGAGTATTGAATTGAATTGTTGACTGCTAGTTTAGTCCTTAGCGTTAATAAGGGAGTTCTCTGGGGTTCTCAAATACTCCAGTCTATCCATTTTGTTTTCTTCATTTTTTGTCTAGCTGGTTTTGGTTTGTTTGAGCTGGTGTTGAAATTAATCTCAATAAAAATACCCTCTGTTTGCATTCAATCTGGTGTTTGGCTGCTTGTGTGTGTGAGTACTTGGGTTGTTTGGCTGAGAAAAGATCAGGTTTCTAACAAGATGGAATTCTGTTTCTTTAGGTTGGTGAATATTTATCACTAGAATGGATATTTTCGACATTAAATTCAGATGTTGATATCTAAAGAATATGTGTCCAGTTTTACAGCCATAGTCTATGTAACATGAAGCATGAATGAATTGTGAAAATCATCTTTCCTTCGTTCTAAATTTCACAATATCTGACCCAAAACACAAGAACTGCGCTGGTGGGAACAATGGAGACATGATTATGCTCCCAATTAGCTGAAGTTATGGTGTGGTGGGGTGGTAGCAATTATGATGAATAAGGTGGTGATGATCACATCTATTTCATCAGTGGAAGCAATGGTGTCGATTAAGTGAGAGGTTTCGATTCTCCAGAATAAGGACTTAACATGCTTTCAATCTATATATCGAAAACAAACAGGCCATCCACTTCAACATGCTCAAAGATAATGCATACCTGCCTAACTGACATGGGGATTTTATAGCGACGACTAGGTGCCAAAACTGGTCTCATTTCTATTGGTAGTTGAGCCTGCTCAGACACACCACAAAGTAAAATGATATCACTTGCAGAACCTGTTGGCATAAAGAAACAGCTTTGAAATTAACTTACTACATACTAGCAAAGGATAGTTTCCTTTAAGGACAGCCATGTCTTCTTGTTTCCTGTTTGATACACTCTCGCCTCCACCACTAGTTTTTCGAGCAAGAACCTCCAAGGCCCATTTTCTTTTATCAGTTTTTATGTCCTTAGATTTAACAGCAGCTCCTTTATGGGTATTAGACTTGGAATTGCCTAATGAAGGAAGTGGTGACCCATCTGCGTGTCTGTTTAGGTGTACTTTACTAGAAGCAGCATCCTTAAGGCTTGTAGCATTACTCTTTTTCCCAACCTTAGGCAAGCCCTTGTCAATTTCTGCGGAGCTTGAATTATCAAGAGATAACTTCAAACGTTTTTCTGCCAATGTGGTTTGTTTATTGCTCACCTCTGAATCACCAGAATGTTTAAGAGCTGCGAGAGGCTTGATGTCGTCTTTTCGTGGGAATACAGATGTATCTGCTAAATATAACCGAGAAAGAATTGGATCTGCAGCCTGTCTTTTAGACCCTTGTACCGATTCTGTGCTCTCGGAACCATTCCTTAGAAGGTCAAGAACTGACTTCAAAGTCTGAATTTTTTCAGGTTTTGAAGTCTGTAGGCAGCGATGCTTCCAGAACTCAATCTCACAGTCCCGATCCCATGCGCGTTTTCTTCTTCCATTGGAATGTGCATAAATTTTCTTTGTCAAATTCTCACGTACCTTGCCCTTCTGCAACAATGACTTCTTTGCCTTCACTGCCAACTGTGATAACGTCTTGGCAGATTCTGTTTTGGGTCCAGCAACAGCAGCCCTAAAGGCAGCAAGAAGCTTTGGATCAAAAAGGTTTTCACCATAGTCTTTAACAGATTTGTTGCGAACGGCCTCTCTTATTTCTTTTCTTAGTTTCTGAACTACCATGGATGACTCCTTGTCCTCAGCAGCTCTCTTCATGATCTTTTTCACCCTCAAACCAGCCGCAGTTTCCAGTTCTTTTGATGATTTATCATTGGCATTACGAGAACTAAGTCCCTTGGAAGGTCTGCAGTTCGTCCCTTGAACAATACTCATTATATCAGAAGCGGCATTCTCCTGTTTGGAAAGACATTTCATCTGATCGTCTCTAGGAACTGCTACCAGGGAGACTTTCTCAGAATCATCTGAAGCAGATATATTGACTTCGTCCTTGGGCAAAATCGGTTGAATCCTCCCCTCAGCTCTCATTTTCTTTGAAGAAGCTTCCGTCTCAATCTTAGTTTTTTCATGCCCATTAGCATTTGCATGAATTTGATCACTACCATGTACACAAAAAACACAAAATTAAAGTCATAAGTTTTCCCCTATTTGCAGTGAGAAGTACAAAGCCATGAGAAACTTCAATTCAAAAGTGCATATACGTACAAAGCAAATTTAAATGAACGAACACCTAATTAAGACACATACAAGGAGGTAAAACACATGTGTTTTGTTGCATGTGAGCATGTCTCTCGAGCAAAGAATGGCTAGGATAGTAAAACTTCATTAGTTAATAACATGTTTTGTTCAACTATTCAGTTGCATCAATGTATATCAGAACTGTCAATTTGGCCGTCATATCAGCAGGGCTTTTGTTAAAGTATAAAACTATTATTAGCCCACCTCCTAACAGCTTAAGCTTCTGGGATGGATTGGTAAACTAACATGGTATCAGAGCGGGAGGTCCTGAGTTCAAACCCCCGTAATTGCACTCTTTATCCCGATTTGTCATCATGTGTTGGGTCTTTAATATATCTCAGGCTTAAATATTCATGTGTTGGGCTTTTCAATTAATTTACCTACACAATTGCCTATTGTCCAGCCCACACGTGAGGAGAAGTGTTAAAGTATAAAACTATTGTTGGCCTACCTCCTAACAGCTTAAACTTCTGGGATGGATTGGTAAACTAACAGCTTTAGACAACTTTAATAGGGTCCTTTAGACAATATCAAAAGCTTGTTGACTGCTCCATGGACAATTAATCTCAACAGAGAAAGCATAAACCACAAACAAAGAGAAGTGATCAAGCAATTGGAGTAGGGAAATTGTGATATGATATAGTAATAATGAACCTGGCGATGCATTATTATGAATACTAATTGCTAAATCTCTAAATGTTCTAAGAATTAACATATATTTTTAACGATAGAATACCTGAAATCTGAATGCTTTCTCTTTACACCAGTAGTTGTGGGTGCATCCTCATCAACATTTGCTACAGATTTCTCGGCTGGAAAACATTTCAGCACTAACACAGCGTCAAGAGATGTGTGCTATATAAATAACTTCAATCACATCCCAATTTCTGGCCCCCCACAAAGAAAAATATTTCCTACCTCTAGATGTTTGTTCTTCTGAAGGCTTGAGCTGCGTCACACCTTCATTCATTTGATCTTCAGTAAAACTATTGTTTATTTCGTCAACTAGAAGCACATTAATAACCACAAACACTAACTCAATTCCATAAGCATAGATAAAAAGTATTCTGCAACTTAATTATGGAAATGTTATGCCTTAAGAGAAAACAAAAGATGCAGAAAAATATTATGTACCAGACAAAAATGTGCTGACAGAGAGACCAAGGTGAAGACCCATAACGGGATTACTGCCAGAGAGATTGTAACTGGTGTGTGATTCATTGACTACCTCTCCAGAAGAACATTTAATGCCGCCAAAGTTACTATGCTTGCTCACCAAACAACTTGAAGGAAAACTAACGGGTGTCTCACATGATAAGGACAGTTCAAGCTCCTGTGCCTTCAAGCTTGGTCGAGTTATAGATTTTTCCTCAGATGGTGTTGTTTGCTTCTGACTAGTGTCTTCAGAATTCAACATAAAAGTTTGAGTTTTCAGGTCCTGGTCAACTTCAACAATTGGCATAATATTGTCCTGTGGTTCTTCTTTTATTTTATTTCCTCCAACCATGGAGACCACAATAGCAGTTTCACCACTGTCCGCAACAGAAACAGAAACCTTTCTAGAGAAAGTGTCCTCGGATAAACTCTCTCTGTTTGCATTTCCGGAACCGGATGGGTTGTTAGAAGGCTGTTCTAAACTCCCATCTGGTTTCTGTGGCATCTCATCAACTACACACCTATAAGAAAATGCAAACAATAAATATAAAATATCAAGAGAGGAGAACTAATCTTTGATTTTCAGAGGAAACCTCTCCCTCTGTTAATTTTGTAAACATTTTTTTATCATTAATGAAATTTCGTCAAAAAAAAGGGGAGAATTAGAATCCTACAAACAGAGAAACTCTCATCAATCAGTCCATGACTATATATTGAGGTGCAATTAGGGGGCACTTAAGCTAAACTGAACTGTACTTGGACTATACAAAATAACTACTAAGTAATATTTGTGAAACAGAGGAATAACTCTCACCTAATTGAATTGTTTAGTTATCTCGGGCAAGCCGATAAAGGTATCCAAGTAATTAGACAAATATTAAAATAGCCTGTTCTACTACAGTTGTTACGAGATGAATATTTTTTTCTTGATGAATTAGAATGTTAACTGATATTAGCAATTCACAGAACTAAAAGTCACTCTCTAACTTACCTCGGGCATAACCAAGTACTCTCGGATGTGCCTTCAGGATCAAATCCCACACAGAAAGCGTGATACCTGTCTCAATGGTAAAACCCATAGAATGTTAAAAAAACGGAAATATAAAGTAGATTAACAATATAAATCTACAAGAGGGGGAAAAAAGTGAGTATTTTTTCCAAATGAGAAAAAAAAAAAGAAAAAGAAAAACACAATAACAACAACAACAACAATTTAAAAGTATGCATAGGTACTTACCATAGATCACATGAATCACATGCAATCGATGTATCGAGATTGGAATCTCCCTCAGTGCTTGCTGACCCATTTCGAATTTTGCAGCCATCTCCATCCAAGCAGATAACTGCCTAAAAATAGGCAAAGACACAAGAATTTGACGTTAGATGAAATAAACTCTAAAATCTATAAGTTGAAGACCAAAAAAAAATACAGACTAGAAGCAGAAAACGAAGCTTGTCCATGCTTTCCAGAGTGATTATTATTTCCTCATAATACGCAAAAGTAAAATATGACTTCCAAACTCTAATGTCTAAATTCTCATTTATAATCATGCCAAGCAACACTCATACGAGGGAGCAGTGATCTAATATTAAATAAGGGATGTTTAAAAATTCAAAAACTAAAGACTAAAACAAAGATAACTTTTCCAATTATTACTGAAAATTTTATAAGAGATCAAGGATTTTCCAAAAGGCTTACATTTTCATCAATATAGTATGATGGAAAAGAGAGAGTGTTATTCTTCCCTTCAATGCACCAATCATCATCTCTGTAAAAATCAGGAGGGAAAATTTAGCCTCTGCTGAAACCCAAGACCAGCAATATTATAAAGTAGCGACAGTGGGAGATTGTCAAATCATGGAAATGCAGTCCTAGCATCAGGTGAAGAGATAAGGCAGTGAATCAGTCTCCCAATCAAGAAATAAGGAGTCAAAGTACCTGGAATACGAGTCATCGTCAACCTTGCTGGTCCCAATAGTATCATATACCTTCACATTTAAAAAAATTGTGATCTTTAACCCTGAATATAAGTAAATCCCAAATAATGGAACTTCAAATATAAAAATTTCCACATAAGGAAAGAGCAACCTCCAGAATAGAAGGTGCAAATAAACAAATACTTTATATACTTAGATGTGCAAATCAATGACAAATAATACTAGAACAATCAAGAAAAAGAAGAGGTCATTTCATGCTCACCGGAACACAAGTGATCAATTGAAACTCATTCTGGCAAAGCGGGCAAAGGTTTGTAATAGTAGCCCAATTGTCGATGCACACAAAACAGAACCTGAAGAAGTCATACGAAAAAGCCCAGATTGTGAAATCATAACATTCATCGAAAACATAAGGAAGACATGGAAATCACAATCCTTTTCTCAACTTTCACAAACCTCAAACATTATTTCAGGCATAAACAAAAAACATCACTCCACCTCAAAAACATTTCTCCAAGTACATTGACAAACACAATGTTGGAAATTTAGGACTTTCTTAAAATAAACTAGAGCCCATCAGAATGTTAAATCAACAACAATGCAAAAGTTTTAATTTTTCCTATAAACCCAGATAAGTTCGCACCCAAAACACACTCAACATCAAATAAACTTCACCATAGTAATGAGAAAACTAGCCCAGAAAAATAATTATCCAGAATTACACGTACCAGTGTTGGCAACAATCAAGAACACCTCTGTCGATGACGATATCCATGCAAATTCCACATCTTTCTCCCTCGAAATTTATAGCTTCCTGTACAGTATCAAAATCCCAAAAAATAATTATTTTTCTTTCTTTTTTTTTTCCTCCAGTAGCTGAAAATTTAGATAAATACAACATAAGACCATTTTTTTTCTCTTCAATTGTGAAAAAACCCAATGAAAAAAAAATTAATCTTTTTGAGCAAGAAAAGAAAATACAAGAGCTGAAACTTACGGGATTACTGTTGTAATCATCAACTTCAACACAATCTTGCTCTGCCACGAGACTTGTTACTAAATCCACTTCCATAATTTTGCTTAAAGAACTATAATTCAAAATCTAGACAAGAAAAAGTAGAAATTTAGAGATCAATTCATTGATTGATTGTGAAAATGATTAAATGGAAAAAGAAAATAGAGAGAGAAAACGTGGAGGAGAGGGACCTGGGAATAAGGGCGAGCACATTTCTCCTATGTGTGCATGAGGAAGGGACGCTCGGAGGATGAACTTGAAGAAGAGCAGAGACATGAGGGCAATTTCGTACGAGGGTTTCACTTGCGTTTCGCCGTCTTGATGTAATGGAACGTTTGTAAGTTCAAACGTTTTTCTGGACTTGAAGTAATAAGTTGGGAGAAAGAGGGAAATAGGCGAATTAAAATTAATAAGTCAATAGTTTACGTAAGTTAATAAATAGATTAAATTACTATTTTTGTCTATAACTTGTCTGATTATGAACCATAACTTGATAAGTTATTGTCTATAATTGTTTATAACTTGTCTGATTATGATTATCAACCCCCATCAGGGCTGATTATCAGCCCCCATTAGGGCTGATGGGGGCTGATTATCAGGCCCCATTGGGGCTGCCCCCAGGGCTGATAATCAACCCCCATTGGGGCTGATAATTTGCCCCCATTGGGGCTGATGGTGAGGGATGATTATCAGCCCTTATTGGGGCTGATGGTCAGCCCCCATTGGGGCTGATGGTGGCTGATTATCAGCCCCCATCAGGGCTGATTATCAGCCCCCGTTGGGGCTGATGGGGGCTGATAATCAGCCCCCATTGGGGCTGATGGTGGGGGCTGATTATCAGCCCCCATTAGGGTTGATTATCAACCCTCATCAGGGCTAATTATCAGCCCCCATTGGGGCTTATGGGGCCTGATGGAGGCTGATAATCAGCCCATATCAGGGCTGATAATCAGCCCATATCATGGCTGATAGTCAGCCCCCATTGGGGCTGATAGGGGCTGATAATCAGCCCCCATTAGGGCTGGTAGGGGCTGATTTTTAGCCCCCATCAAGGCTGATTATCAGCCCCTATTGGGGCTCATGGGGGCTAATTATCAACCCCCCATCAGGGCTGATAATCAGCCTCTATTGGGGTTGATGGGGGCTGATAAGCAGCCCCCATTGGGGGGGCTGATAATCAGCCCTCATCAGTGCTGATGGGGGCTGATTATCAGTCCCCATTGGGGCTGATTATCAGCCTCAATTGGGGGCGTCCCAGGCCATCCCCAACGGGGGGGCCTCCCAAGGGCTGATACAGCCCCAATGGGAGGCCCCTAAGGGCTGTATCAGCCCTAACAGGGGCCTCCAGGGGGAAAAATAGAAAAAAAAATGACCAAATCAGATCAAGCATAGCAAAATTAGAAACAAAACAACACCAAATCAAACGAAAAACTAGCAACCGATTTGGTTGAATATAGCAAATCAAACGGCGAGACGAGAACGGGGACAAAATGGAAAAAAAAAAAAAAAAACAAATCAGAAGAAATGCTCAACCAAATTGAACGGAAAACCATCAAATATTTTTGGCTAGGGGCGTACCTCAGTGAGAAAACGGCGAGATGAGAATGGGGTAGATCGAGCAACAAGAGACCGGAGGAGCTCAGGTGAACGAAAGAGCTCGGGTGAGAAGCAAATGGCGCAAGTCAGGCGAAACGGGCGAGAAGAACGCCGGGGCTCGGCCGGGAAGAAGAGCTCGGCTGAAGAAGGGAAGGGAAGAAGAGCTCAGCTGAAGAAGGGAAGAAAAAATCAAAAGAAGAAAGAACGGGAGGACGGGAGGCTGAAGAAAGAAGGAAAACGAAAATGAAAACTAGAAAATGAAAACGGGTTTTTTTCATTTTCAGAATTCCACAAAACGACAAAAACAGTTTTGTTTTTGTTTTCTAAAACAAACTTCGCCAAACGCGTTTTTTATTACTGTTTTCAATTTTTTGCTTCGAAAAACGTAAAAAATGAGAATGAAAACGATAACAAACAGGCCCTTAGTAATTCGTCGCTATTTTTAAGTGTGAGTTAAGCGAGTGGCACATTCGAACATTAACTTTTGAACGACGGTGCCTTGAGTAGTGAGATTGCCATCTAGCATGCTTGCAGTGCAACCGCGGGCCGGATCTTGTGCATTGAAGTCTACCAAATCTAGTGCATCCGCGCCTCTTATTGAAAAAAAAAAGAGAAAATTACAGAATTTATTTTTAAATGTGTATGAGTTTAAATCTTTACTCTTATTTTTTATTAATATTTTTTATTAGTATAGTTATTTAACTAAAAAAAGTTATTAATTAAAAATAAAGAATAAAAATTCTAATTCATACACTTTTTAAGTAGACGTTTGGTTCATAGATTAGAATCATGTGATTAGAACCATTTTTAATTTATGTATATTTTTTGTAAAAGAAAACACTGTAACGAACCATGAACTATAATTCAAATCATAGTTTGAATCTTTCAACTAAACATTTAATAAGAGTATTTATCTCTTTTCTCTTATGAGTAATGACGTAAAATCACATCAAATCTAGCACGCCTCTCCAAGACGTAGTACACTAAATCTAGCAGAAAGAAGGGACATTATTTCAAATAATGTAGAAAGCTACGTTTTTGTTTTTGAACCACATTTGTATAGGTTCCTTCGTGCATAATAAACTAATGTAGGCATAAATATATTACAAAGGAGAAAATAATTCAAAATCATCCGTCGGTGACTAGTGTTGTGACGGGTTAAATCTGACTTAGGCCCCGTTCACTTCGTTGATTCGAGTTTAGAATTCGAGTTGAGATGTGATTTTATGTGAGAGCTTTTTACTGTAGAAAAAAAGTTAGATGTGATTGTTTGTGAGAGCTTTTTACTGTAGAAAAACTTAAATTCTAAACTCGAATCAGCGAAGTGAACGAGACCTTAGCCACAAATTTGTTCCTTATTTAAAAAGGTCAACTATTTTATTTAAATGACTTAGTTTTCATTGGCCACGGATTGTAATAAAATATTATAAGCAATAGAAAATTGTTACAAATTACAATGTGTCACGTACTAAAAATCAACTTCTTGTAATTATAATATATATGAATAAAATCATTTTAATACCCCGTGTTATTGTGAAATGTACTCTTAGTACTCTGTATTTTTTATAATATTATATCAAAATCTCGACGTTTTTAAAAATATCTTCTTGATACCTTAAAGCAGATTCTTGAGACATAAAATGACTTTTGTATTATTCTATTTAATTAACTAATACATCTAAAAAAAGTCAAGAACTTTTTTATTTTGTTGTTTTCTTTTAAATATTTTAATGTTTTAAAATATTTTCAATTTAAAAAAAACATTGATTTTTATTTAATTAATAAGAATGGTAGTTTGGACATTCGACGTTCCAAAAATCAATTTTAGGATTTTAAGAAGTGTTTTTAAAGACATTGAGATACCGTTCTAATATTATAAAAAAAAACAAATTGTATTAAGAATATGTTCGCTATAACACAGAGTACCAAAATAATTTTATTCCTAATATGCAATAGAAAAAATGTTACATATTACAATGTGCCACTTATTAAAAAGCATTAAAAGAATCTCATTTTTATTTTTATTTTATTTTTTTGAATTTTGTGATTGTGATAGGATAATATTTTGAAATGTCAAAATTTTCAATTTTTACCAATTATACACGTTGTTTAGTTTTTATGTGATTTTATTCGGATCTAACACTCAAAATAACAAAACATAAATGAATTGAGAATATTTTATTACAAAAGGGTTATTCTTTTCTTTTAATTGATTTTTCTCTCAAAAATGCAAAAATACATTATTCCTCGTTTGTTGGGAGACAAGTAAACGAGGTAATTAATTGCAGGAGACAAGAGACCTCGGAGATCAGAAGGTTCAACAGCTCTTTCTCATAATTAAGCAATCATATTAATATTTTTTATTCATCAACTCAGCTGTACGACACTTTCCTTAATAAGTTAATTACTTTTTTCTTATTATTTTTTTTCCTATCCAAAAAGCATGTTGAAGGACCACTATTTCCTCCTAAAAGAAGGTGGGTACAACGCATGCTCTTCCCTCAAAAACAATTTTTTTCTTAAAAAAAGATTATTCTCACATGTGGTCTTATACTTTAGAGTTATTTTCATTTTACTTACTGAATTTTAAAAACTCTCTTTTACTCTATAAATCTTAAATTAGACCCACTGACCCGTTTTCATTAGAATTTTCGTTAAAAAATAATAGAAGGAAAACAGAGAGAGAGAGAATTAGTCTTATTTTAGAATTAATATTGAAAATAAATTTTAAAAAAAGGATCACACGAACTCTCTTAACCTCCCATCTTAATCTGTCTATTCTTAACAAAAATTCTAATGAAATGGCTTAAGTGAGATTAATATAAAATTCACAGGAAAAAGTGAGAGTTTTTAAATTTTAGGGCATAAAATAGAAATGGTCTTAAAGTTGAAGGGTAGTGAGAATCATCCAAAAAAAAATATGAAAGTACAAAAAGATCCATTAATTTAAACCCAACATGTGACGTCTATGAAACAAACAGAAGTTGAAAAGAGAACAAATCGAGGCAATTGAAAAAACGAAGCTGGTGGAAAGTGATATAATAGACTCAAAAGTATATTTAATGACACATAGAGAGAAGAAAAACAGCAGAAGAAGAGTGTGATGGAAGATTAGTTCTGCAACTGATCAAGTTTTGCAAACGAACTAATATAATTAAGCTTTTTCTTCATTAACCTATTGAGGAGCACCACCACTCAGGTCAGTTTCATATGGTTTGTTACTCAAACTTCAATATATTTTAGTTTCTGTTTCTTTTCTTCGTTGGGATTTTCTTTTTCTTTTTTGTTTTTTTGTTTTTGGTTTTTCCTTCTGATGGGATTCAACAAGCTGGATAATGGGTTCATCTGTTTCAAATCTTGTTGGGAAGGAGAGTTCTTGTGTACTAAGTCATGAATGTACAATAGTGAAAATATTAAAGAAAACCATAAAAGTCTTTAAATTGTTGTGGGTTGACTTTTTTTCCCCTAATTTTTTTTTTTTTTTGGCACTTAATGACTATATATCGCTGGATATATGCAAGCTAAGTGTTGTCACTTGTTAGTATCTTGGTATATTCAGGGAATAGAACAGTTTAAATTAAGTGCCTTTTCTTTTTCTTTCCTTTTTTTTTTCCTCCTATATTTTTCCTTGGTTCTACCATTAAGATTTTTGTTATCATGTTTCTGTACTCTGATTAGCAGACAAAAATTATTGACCAAGAAAAGTATCAGTGAAGAACTTGCATTCATTACGGATAACATAGAGTCAAAATCTGTTGTCTCATTAGTTATTCCTCTAATTAAAGTTTGACATCCCGTTTAATTCTTAAGTATTTTCAGTATGTGGTTTGTATACACGTATTTAAGTTGTTAAATTTAGATGACACGTTGAATAAGTAGTGGAGTGATAATCAATATATAAGATGAGAAAATGAGGACAATAAAATTGGACTCGAAAACGATTGTACAACATGAAAGTAGACGGTTTAGTTCTTCATTTACATCCAATATTTATTTATCTAATCTGCTCAGCAGCTTTAAAATTGATGTGTTTTTTTTTTTTTCTCTTCATTGGTAGTTAAACAGGTATAATATCTGAATCTTGTTTCTCCAATCCGAATCATGCGTCCTTTTTTTAGCTGCTTTTGCTTCAACGGAGCCGTAGTTCGGAAACAAAAATACGGGTACGAGAACCCTACCATTCTTGCCTCAGAAACTGCCTGTAAGTAGAAGTTTTCCATCTTAATTCTAGTCTTATTCTTTTCTCGCACCATTTGTCCCGCCCCATCGACATCTTACTTTAAATCGTTAATAAAGTGAATATAATGGTTAAAGCTACTAATTATATGTCAGTGAATTTGGTATGCTTCTGAAAATTTGTAGTTGTGCAAATCTTAGTTATGATGATCTGTGGTATTTATAGATTGACCATGATATTTGTGGAAAAAATTTATGTGGAAATCTGGGACTTATTTTTAATTTTTGACAGTTACTGTAAATGAAGTGGAAGCCTTGTATCATCTGTTCAAGAAACTAAGCAGTTCCATAATAGATGATGGCAATATCCACAAGGTATATATTATGCATTGTATTATTTTGCTTGGAAAATTTATAATATAGGATTTTTGGTCCTTTGTTTGATTCCTGAAATTGTATATATTAAGCAAAATCTTGTATGACCAGGAAGAATTCCAACTCGCTCTATTTGACAACAGCAAAAAGAAGAACCTTTTTGCAGACAGGGTACGCATGCTTTCGAGTTTTTATCATCCCGGCACCTTGTATTTTAACTTAGGCCTTGTTTATTTCGCCGATTTGAGTTTAGAATTCGAGTTTTGTTACAGTAAAAA